CCGTTTGAGTTCCAAGCAGCGTGATCGCAGTCCTTCGGTATCTAAAAATGCCAGCCCATCGGTTTGTAGAATCAAATGAAGTTTGTTCATTCGTCTTGCTTCTAATTGTTTATTTTTACTTTGTTATTGCCTGCATAGAAATGACAAAATAGAAGGATCGCACAGTTTCGAATTTTTTTAATGTGAAAATAGAAAAGCCTGGCATTTTTGACCGGGTGTTTGAAATCACGCGTGGCACTCAAACGGTTAATATCGTCAGAAACAAAAGTAATCAACATGTTAATTACACACCGAACGTAACGTGAATTGATATATAACAGAGTTGTTTACTTCGATTCAATGTGAAGTTCCAATCCCAGTCCCCTAATTGTTACACGCCGAGCCATTTGGACCGCTTAAAACGCTCGGGGGAAAGGAACAGCAAGAAATATCCGCGAACAGTATTCAGGCGCGGTTCAATTGAATTGCTCCCGGTCCGATTCGCGCGAACTGGTGAAAATCAGCGATACCAGCTCGCGACGGCGAAAGCAATCAAATGATCACGCGTGAAATCTGTGCCGTCGCGGCGCGCGTTTTTCATTCATTTCGCTTTTATTGTTCGATCGGTCGTCGATAGCTCTCCAGCGAGGAATTAAAAGTTCGCCGGCTGCCAAGAACGGGCAATTCCCGGTCGTTTTAACGACATCGTTAATCCCGTCCGTAGAAATGCAAAGAAAACCAGTGCCCGAACGTAAATCTTCGGCCAGGATGCGATCACGATAAACCATTCCTTTCGGGGAACATTAAGCGTGAACTTTGTTCATGCTGTAAGGCGGTCCTAATTCTTCCTTCTGAGTTTTTTTCATAGCAAGTCTGACCGAATGAACTATTATACGTAATGACGATCAAAGATCTCAGGTATACGGTATATACGGCTGCGGATTTCGTGGCAATGAATCTCGTGGCAATTATAACAGATCGAAGTGAATTGAACAGAGACGTGTTCATTTTTGGTCACGATCTTTAGTGCAACACGGTTATTTCCAACCGATGCGGAAAGCAAACGTTTAAACGATTTCGCGTTTCCAGCTGTTATGAAAGAGGAAAAGACGAAACGGAAGTGACAACGGTATAATTACTTCACGCGTCCAGCTAAAAGCATAACGCTGTCGGGCGTGCTGGGCCGTGTCTCCCCTGACAGGAGATAGCAGAAAGGAAATCAAACGACTCTGTTTCGCGATGCGCACCTAATTAAGAGATGGCTTTACCTCGCGATCGTCGGTGAGTTAAGGGGCCATTGTCGCGGGCGATATTCAAATTTAATAAATACCACGACACGGAAACGGGAAGATTAAAGTCGCCAGAAACGAGAGAAGAAGAAGAATCCCAGGCCGCTCTCGCCTGATGAAATTATTTTAATTCTCGGTGGAAATCTCGAAACCACAAGTCCGAGGACTGAACACCGTCGTGCAATCGTAATAAACAGCTGCCTTTCGCGCGAAATTAAAACCGAGACACACCCGTAAAGCACGCGTTTTAATAAACGTCTCGCCTTTCTTCTGTTCGTTGGACACACGCGAGATGAACTTTTTCATTCGTGTCTCGTTGTTATTCCTCGAAGGATGAATGTTTTAAAATTGTATGCATAGATAGAGAGGGGGAGAGAAAGAGTTGCAACCTCTGACAAATATTTGCGACGATTCTTGCAGTTGAAACGCATCGAATTATCCTGTGCTCAACAATTTACTTTTATCCAAGGAACAAAGAGTTCCCTTAGCCTCTATTGGCTAGAGTGGCGCACGTTTCGACATTCATTCGACAAAATTGCCGGTGCACCGGTGCGCGTCGATATCGTGACGCTGTCTTGTCGCGTGACGTGTCGCGAATTTCGTTCGAACGTGGTCAACCATTAAAGAACCTTCCACATCGCTCGCATAGATAAGCTCGCACGGACGAGAAAGCACGTGCTCTAATTACGAAATTAACGTAATTGGAGAGGCCAATGGTAAAACGGAAGGACGATTCGTCATTCGGGAAATTTATCGGTAGGGTACTTGCGCTCATCCATCTATCAGAGCCCCGGTATCGCCGCATCCATCTTAATAACTTCATTTCGCAAGCGCGAATGACAAACGATCGTTGAACGCTTGAAACATGTCTCGTACGAAAAGCTTGGAACACCGTGGAAATAAAAAAATGGACGTTTTTGTGGCGAACGAACCTTCGAATCATCCTTCCGCCGTTATTTCTCTATCAGGAGCCCTTCTCATTCGAAAGGCGACTCTCAGTCGCCCCTCGATTTAACGCAGTGTAATCGTGCGATTAAAAGATCAATATTATACTTTAAGTACGAGATCAACGTATGAAACATAGAAATAAAATAGTTCTATCCCACAATTCATACAAGATTCTGTTAGTTGCAAATAGTATTGTGAACATTTCACCGAAAAATAATGAACATTAACAACGTGGAATATTGTTAAATGCGAAGGACTAACATTTATACGCGGATTCGAATTCCGTTCACCTTTCAATTTCCGAATTCCCGAAGTTTCCCCGATTTCCATTCTCCCCGGGGATCGATGAGAATCTCTCGCGAAAGGAGTCGAACGATAACGGGCTCCTTTTCAATACTCTCGCGGCTATTATATCAAGCCCCGCATAAGGTTGCGAACGCAGCTCCGAGATTCGCGATAATCCTCGTCGACTGGAGCGGAAGGCCGCCGCGAGATGCATTCAACGCGCGTTCACATGCAAAGTTTCATGGAAATGCGAACGCACGCGGAGATACCGGCGGTATCATGCATTCGCGCAGAACCGGGGCGGAAAGAAACGCATTGTCGCGTGGATTCCCCCGGTTTTGCCGACGAGTCTCGTTAACAATTGGCATTCACGTTGTAATCACGCCGCGGATCGTGTCTCGTTTTCGCTGTCAGACACCCAGAGACCTCTTCCCCGTCAGCTGTAATCGTTTACCGAGGAATTCGTCGCGATCGTGGATCGCAATTGCATCTATGCTACGGAGCTCGGGAACCGCGGAGCTGAAATTCCACGCGCGATTCGGAGCTCCACCACCATCGTCGAAACACGATGAAGCTTAGGTGCGAGGGCTAGCTTAGAATCGAACGCGCATCCTTCCCTTATTCGGCTTTGACACGCCAAGGATACAGATTGGGAGGTTCGATGGACGCGGGAGTTGAGTGCCGAACACGTTTCGCGATGTTTTTTCGTTCTTTTTGCGCCACCGTCGATTTTCGTTCCCTCTTTGGCCCTCCGAGTCCCGTAAATGCAAATCGGAGGACTCTGTTGCCAAATGGTTTCGTAGTCAGATGTGTAGATTACATATAGATAGTAGATATACGCAATAAAGAATTTTAAAAGATTTGATGTTCGTTGGAAAAAATGTTGCAATGCAAACCACACTGCAGATGGTGTAACGGAATTATCAGATCGGTCTGTTGGAAAATTCTGGTCTTCCGAAGAAGAGATGTATCTGCTCTCCGACCCTGTCCCATCATTTAACCCTAAGCTTCATCGATTTCAACGATGCTCGGCGCTACTGCTCGCGTGATTTTCAGAGAGCGATTTAAGACTCGAATACGCGAGCGCAACTGCGACCTGCAGCCACGGAGGAATCCCGGGAAGGAATTAAAGCTGACGCGTACACCTCTCAAAATACCTACCCACACAACGCCGTGATCGTGTCTACGGACTCACAAATAACCGCACACGCGCACCCTGCCGCATAATCTGCATGAAATTACGGAATGACGTGTAATTAGAGCGCCAACGTTAAGGCCGTGCTCGTGCCACGACAAGACTATGGAGAGGAGTCGGTGGCAAAGGTTCTGCCGTTCGCGTAAAAGGATTATACGATGCGTTACGCACAGATTTCGATGGAACTTATGAGAAGCTTTAATTTCGGAGATGTTTAACGACGAAATAATCACTAGAATGCGGATCAGTATGCATTAATGGAGAAAAAAGACAACATTGCATAGAACGCACACAATACGAACAGATATTTGAAACGTCTGAAGCGTAGTAATTTTTGTGACATTTGTTAGAAATTAATTGACTTCTTAGAATTTTGAATTTGCGTGAAGACTCGCAGTCTAGCGATCACTATTGTTATTTCATTAGCGAGTACAGTCTCTTTAGTTTATCGAAACGTCAAATAATTATTATTACCAAAATAATATTTCCACGAAATTTCCCTTGACGACCATGTTCTATAGCATCATCGACAACGCGGAAGAGTTGTAGCAACGGCAAATTGAGATGAAAGATGACAAAACATTGTTCGTTTATTTATCGATCAAGACGGAGTGGAGCACGATTGGATAATGCTCTGAAACGAGTTTGAAGCGAGTCATGAACCGGCTCAAAGTTAGGCGACTGGACAATATCAGAGAACGGGAATTTAATAAAGCCGACATTGCGTGGGACGTGGCTGAAAGAAATGGACGTGGAACGTGTCCAGCATGCATAGGAGCTCCACCTCTCTTCTTTCCTTCGTTTCTTCGTTTCCTTCTCGTTTTTTCTCGACCTGGCAACCGGTTCACTAACCGACGCTTCTTTTTCTCTTCTATTCCCCACGACGATCCCCGTTTACTCAATCCTTTCCACCTCCAAAAATTGCTTCTCTCTCTTGCTCCTCTACCGGATACATCGACGAAATGGCATAGATTGAACCCAGCTGGCCTGGATTTCCATTTTATCTGGAACCTTGAATCTTGACGATTTCAGGAAAGGGTGTTCCAGAGTTTATAGACACCCCTACGACAAGTACCTAAACTGATGGTGAATCTCAATTCGGATGATCGTCCCATAGACTGCTACGCCACTTGATGATGATCCGGGGGTATGGTGAATAGACTCGCAGACTCAGGACTGAACAACTGGCAACGTCACTGAACTATGTAACACCAATAGTCGACGAAAGGATTGTAAATATTAAAGGGAGCAAAGGCAATTTGTACGATGTTTATTAATAGAAAAATACAAAGGGTAATGTACAGTCGTATAAAGTCAACATTTTAAATACATTGTTTCGTTGGGGGGAAAGGATGCATGCGTCTCGGCGATTCGTTGATAAGATTGTGAATGGGTCAGAAATAGTGAATCTTTCGCCTGAGCAAATTCCTCCCGTTACTCCTTCGATTCGTTTTTATTCAGTTATAACATATGTAGCTTTCGTTTTGTACTATTACGTAATACCCTGTCCTTTTAAGTTTGCCAATTGATTTTGATGTAATTACCCGGAGATCTTTATTCGCGTTTTCATTTACATCGATAAACTAGGATTTATCATCCAAATAGGACACCTAAAGGGTAGCGAAACTTGATGTACTTATTATTTTTAAATATTATATTTTTGTCCAACCGACGAGTAGGAATGAGACGTGCAATCGAAAAGAATCAATTGCCACTAAAAGAGATTCATTGGCAGATTTGATTGGAATTTTAATGGAAGTCGTATCGTTTAATCATTAAACAGCCTACAATTATGATTAGAAAAAGATGGTGTTTTATTTACACGTTACAAACCAAGTTAAATATCACATACACGTACATTTCAATCGAGTATTAACAAACTGTTATCTTCTTTCTATTTTAGACTCTATTCCTTTCAACGTTTAACAATCTTTTTCTCTTCGTTAAGACACTCTCGTTAAGACCAGTTGATTTATCGTTTGTTGGTTTAATACTTGTTTATACGTTTCCTCTTTTTCGTGAATCGTTCTGATGTAACTGTGATACACTTGTTTGCACAGACAGCGTTAATGTAATCAAAAATTATATCTTATCGGAACGCTCGATCTTCATGGCAAATTGAATACATATTACAATCACTTATCTTTCTGATAATACTCTAATTTTGTAAAATGAACAAAGACGTCCGAGACCACTTGTTAACATTCTGCTTAATTATATATCTATATATAATTATATATGCAGAAATAAATTTACTTTCCATGACATTCAGTTCAACGGAAATATAGTTTCATAAAAATCTTTTCATACTGGGAACATTCCTGTCTTAAAGTATTTTCATTTTGTACGTTTTATTTCATTATATTGCCTAGAATTTTAATTCACACGAATGTATAATTTCTTCTTTGAATGTTGTATTATCACAGAAAACGTACTGTATAATATTATGTACTACATGTAGATGTGCGAAGTGTCTGGGTGTATAACACGGGTACCTCGCATACATGTCTATAATTTTTAATATTGGTCGTTATTACTTTATAATTAGTCTACGGTAACCTTTTCAAATTACACAAAAAATAATTTTGTTATCGTTGACTAGACATTAATTGTTATTTATCAGTATTCTCTGTCAACGCTAAGATCCTTGTGATTGAATAACAAAATAATTGATGAAACTTGGTTAACTTCATCGTATCAAGAAGCCTAATGTTCTGTAAATGTGAAAAACTTTACAATACTTTTTATTAATATATCCTAGAACAAAATATATAATGCAATCAACCAAGTTTCTTTCGACATTGTTTGTAAGCTTTGTAATATTTGCATTATTAAAAACAAATAACAATAAATGTTATAAAAAGTATTCATAAGTACTTTATATACATACTTAAATGTAGAGCAATACTTTAACATAGTAGTTTTCAGTCCCTATAAATGAAATGAAATTTTGAATAGATCAATGTTCCAATGTGTATTGTCAAAATGTAATTACATCTTCGTGATTTGATCATTGTCCTCGCACGTGCAAACTGGTGTTGTTGCCTCTATACATTCCGGTGGACATTTTTCTGCCATGTTTACATCGTAAATAGTTGTTTTTGATGGTGATCGTTCATATTTGCATATTACGGCGTACATATCGCCACCCAAACGAAGTGCAAGCCACCGGTTTTTAACAACTGCTAACTTTAAACATTCACAAGTCAGCTTTGCGTAAAGATTAGTATGAAGTGTTCTGCCCATTCCCTCGAGGACAATAAGGTCAACATTATATTTTACCATCGCAAGACATAAGTCTAGATTCAGTCGGCTATTGAAGTGTTAAATAATTCCAAGTCATTAATATCGCTACTTCTTAAACATGTACAATCCTTTTTTAATACTTACCTCAAGTCCAGACAAGGTCCTGCCTGAGCTGTTTCCATAGCGATCAATCGATTCTCTTTCAGAGCATGCCTAATAACTTTACATATTTTTGCTGCATCTCGTAACGTCACAACCAGTTCCGGGTATGTTACATCGTTCAACGCTGGCATAGAATTAGCGCATAATATAACCTGGCACAATCATAATTACATATTTAAATTTATGACACTATCAGATCAGTAATTGTCAATTTTGTTACTAACTTTTGTGCCTCGTTGTAATAAATCTCGCGCAAATGGTAAAATTCCCAATACTATGTCAACTCCGCTATTGTCAACAAAAATGGCTGCACACTTATGAGGTGGTCCAGTTTCCAATCTTTCTATCCAATCATCCAAATCATCATGCAACCAAGGTCTCCCTATGTTTAAAAAAATTTATCATTAATCATAATATGAGTATCACTTTCATTAAAATAACTGTAAGTACCTGGAATTTTTGCTTCAGCTTCAGCGAAACCAAAGTCCGTTGTTTCCATCAAAGTAGCAACAGCTTGTGCACCCCAATCAAACATATTCCCGCTTAGAACGCCTAATATTAAAGTTTCTATCTTCTTTGCTCCCTCCAACTTATCCAGTGTGGCCAATCGGTCTTTCAAATGCTTTAAAGCTTCTTCATTCTCCTTCTTCTTTTGCTGTACATTTAAGACATTTTTAATAGATGAAATTTATAATGAGTTTCAAGTTTTTAAATAACTTACATGCAAATAGGGATCAGGAAAGTCAAATTCCTTCATACAGTGTTCGATTGTATCCAACAGTACTCTTACAGTAAGAGTTCCATATGCACTATAATATAATTGATGTTAGTCTTATATTGCAGAATATTATATTATAATATATTATAAAATATTACATTTTTATTATTGATCAGAGCTTACAATGGTTGCAAGTGCAGATAATGTAGTCTATTAACATATTTCTCCTTAAGTTTTGTTGCTCTATCTTTCGCAGTTGGACTCTGAGGTTGGCTATGAATAGCCCTTGCTACAAATTTGTCCACTGATTCTTCAAAACACTGAAGCCAGTAATCTCTGCAATCATTAAGTATTATAAAATTCAATACATTACTCCACCAATAGTGCCTTTATTAAAAAAAATAAAATTTTATAATTCACCTAGCTTCTTTGTCCTCTGCAAGATCTGTTGTATCAGGATTATAGGTTGTAGGATCTTTTAAAAGGGGACAAAATGAAACAGCAATTTCAGCTTGATCAATTTCCAACTGATCAGCTGTAATTCCAAAATTAGTGAATACTGAATCCTTGAATCCTGAGGAACCTGCATAATTTTCTAACCAGTTATGTTCATCTGATTGTTCAGCACCATATAAAAATGCTCCAATTGCACCCAAATAGCCTTCATGGCGCAAAAAAAGTGGTTTTACTTTACCCTATATTTAAAATAAAAATATAAGATAATGAAACGTGTATTTATTCTTCTATGAGTCACAAGAAAATTTAAAGCATATTTCAATTACATGTGACCAGTATTTGATGGAATATGAAATAGTATGCATTGATAAAGGGTGATTTCGAAGAAAATAGCCACCAAAATAAACCTTAGTCATTTTATGCACAGTTGCATATAAGCTAGCTATTTGTCCAATATCATTACTTATTGTGAATAAAAGACTTCTTGCAAGGTCTGCCTCAGAAAAGTTTAGTCGCCCTAAAAGGTAATTAAAATAAATTACACCTGATTTTATTAGTCTTTTTACCTAATTGCCTATAATTGCTCAATCTCTTACCATTGTTACTATTACAAGATACTGCCTTGCCAAAGGAAGATGCAATAAGCTCTCCAGATAAGCCTTGAGAAGAATAATCACCTCCATAAATATCTTTCACTAATATATCAACATTACGATGATCTCCTTGTTCTGCAAGTTGCAGCAATTCATCAAAGCCCTAGCAGGGTATTTTTAAAATCACTTTTTAAATGTGTATCTTTGTCTCAGTGGCGTTATGAAAGTACAAAATTTAATATATTTGTCACATAAAAACAAAATGATCAGTACTACATACATTGTATAATAAAGACATCAATGTATATCGAATTGTAGGTTGCCAAAGTGGTATAGTTAATAAATATTTAATTTTGATCACAATGAGACATTAATAATCAATAAATTTTGATAATGTTAAAACCTTCTGATGTGAATACCTTTCTCTTTGTGAGTAGTGAACCTAGACCCCAAAAAGTCCCTCCTCCAGTAGCTGTGCCACCAACTCTTTCAAATACCTTATCAGACTCCACCTAACAAAATGTTATATAAATATTTGAATTATGAGAAACACTTCTTCATAAATATTTAAATGACATATTTATTCTTACTTTCATAATACTGACACCACTACCAATATTGACTAACATGTATGGAAATATATTAGGACCAGCCTTTTGAAATTTATATTCAGGATTTCCATGTCTCTCATACTCAAATGCTTCACATGGTATATTTTTAAGTAAAAAATTACAGCCTTTTATCAGACATGCTATTTCATCTTCCTTATCAACTCTAAAATATCATATTGATACTTTTTATTTATTAATCATAAGCTGATTTAACGTATAATAAAATTACTCACATCAAGCCTAATTTTTCTTGTAATAATGGAGTATATTTATATGCTCCTCCACCAGTTATTTTAACGCTTTTACCATGAAACCTTTCAACATTTACTAAATTTTCTTTTACAAAGTCTAAACAATTCTCAATGTATTGTGTTTCAAACTTAACAAAATGAAGTCTATTTCCTTCATATACTTTGTATGCTCGCTCTCCACTATTTCCTAGACCACTATCTTCGTAAAGCGCTTTACGATAGCTGACCGTTGAATAATAAGCTATTTTTGTTAATGATAAGCCTATAATTAAATGATAAACAAAGGAATACTTAAAATTGGGATAGGCAATATGATATACATTTGATTTTAAATAATAATTTGCTAGATCTATCAAAGAATTCAAATTGCTATGTATGGTTCAATACATACCGATGTCAATAGCGAATTTTTGAGCATTTTTCAAATTTGCAAATACTTCAACCGTGGCTGGTAATTTTATAGAATTAGAGTGACCTCGCTCCTCCTCGATTTCTGCCGTTTCCATCTTACATCGATTCCCTTTCGACACTCTACCACTAATTGCGTTCGATGCTTCACGTCCTAGCTGGCTGTGTAAGAACTAAATACATGACGACGAACAGCAGTTTTATCATTAATCAAACACCCTGTTATTGCTATCACGTACATACGTCAAAAAGTGTCTTCTTTCTGGAGCACACATGAACATGTAAGTACACGAATTTAAACACTTGTTTACCCAATACTTACAACGTTGATTTAAAAATGGCTATTTAATGTCGCATAGACAGAAGCGCCATTTGATGCGGCGCGAAAGAACTAAAGATTACGAACTACAACTATAGAAAAGATTTAATGATGCTTAAGAAAAAGCAAATAGGTAAAACTTATTGAAAATTTTCATAACAAAAGTGTATACTATCATGATGATGATTTATTGTATAAGAGTATAAAACATGTATTACATCGAATTATTATATGTATACTACTACAATTCAATGCAGACATTAATTCAGCATTTCTCAATAGACTTTTATACTATATTAAAAAGTGTATACTATTTTTAGAATTATGTAACTTCGTCTTAGAAAAACAACATTTAAATTTAAATAATATTTTTAAGAGATACTAGAATAATTTATGGTATATTTACAATTGAAATCAATAATATATACATCTTTAAAAATATACTACCTTAATTTTCACTTACATATGTACAAAACATTGTTGATTACAAAATAAATTCTCAATCATATGCGAACGTACCTGTGTATTTAATTAAAAATTCTTAGTAAAAATGTAATATTCCAGTTACTTTATTGTTTTTATTATGTGAAGTACTTTAGGAGACAAGAAATATGTAATCTCTGTATAATTTCTCAGATATTCATAAATGATTCATATATATTAGTACGTGTTCAAGCCAATATACACATATTTTGTCACATACAATATTTAATATGTATCCATGTGTTATTCGTATCAGTAACATTTATGATTAGATTAATTATTGTTCATTACAGAACAGTGAGCCTTGATGTAATAGAAATTTTTATACAAAAAGTTTTCATGACGTACTTAATGCATATTTAATGCTTAATTTGGAATTCACTTTGTATTAGAAATTTCAACAAAATTTAAACGCACACGATATAATTGATTAATTATCCATTTCTAATTACTTTAAATTACTTAATTCTTTGTAATATAATTTCCCTGATATAAACCCTGTACATTAAAATTATAGACATATTCTGTTCAAGAGGACTTTGTAGTTTTTTCCTTTGACACATGGGAAGTTAACTTAAATTTAGTATTTTGCAACAAATTATATGAACCGTATGTACAAAATTTACGAGATACAAAAGGTATATAGAATGCTCTGAAAAATCTATGTGACCTGAAAAAAAAGTAATGATTATGTAAAACAGTGATTTAATTTAATCTACTGAACCGCGCTAATGAAAAAAATGTACAGTATAACCCACTTACCTAGTAGAATCTAAAAATTTAGAAGACCTTATTACTGTGAAATTGTCACTTAATCGAGAATAATTTGGTTCCAGAGCAGTCTCAGTTCCAACATCCAAATCTAATACAAAGTGACACTTTTCTAAATTAAACTAAAATTACCAAAGAATGAACATTAATTAGACTGAATATTATTATGTTTTTCTAATATGCTGTTATTTAGATATTTACGTATCGCGACGGTTCTTCCCTGTTCATGTCATTAAAATTAGGTTGAATTACACTAGTTGCATTTTCCTGATTTAGGAAATGTTGTGGTAATTGCCCTTTAAATTCTGATTTCAAAAATTGAAGTTTCCAACTGTAAATAATATTATTAAAATTTAAACTAATTTAGAAATTAATTTATGATAACTATGGCCATTAAGATGCATCCATGTTATTGCTTACTTATTTGATGGGAAGAAAAAGCTACTTGGAAATCGATGCCACTCTTTGCCAAGACAAAAATTAATATTAGTGTCCTTTAAAATATCGCCCTCTGATCCAAACTTATTAGTTTCGATCATTATTTCCATTGGGGCATAGTACCCTTTATATATTGCCAGTGATCTTGAGGTACCAAGAAAACCACATATTAAAACAGTAAGGAGAGTAATATGAACAGTGTATTGCGAATAATGATAAGCAATATGTAAGGGACTGAGTTTTGTTCTAATGAAAAAGTATAATTTTTGAATGACATCCACAGCTACTGCCCCAGCTAAACAAATCATAGGATATACAGGAAATAAAAATCGTTCCTCCTGAAAGTATAATTTCACTGTACAGTATACTATACAAACTATACAAAAATATACAAATACAAACTTTAAATCACCTTATGTGGCTGAAAGAAAAAGACCAAAAACCAGCAATATAAAGGTGCCAGAGAATACCAATATGATAAACACTGTCTGTCCCTTGGATGTGCTGGTATGAGCAACCATACTAAAAACTATAAGACTTGTTAAAATATTAGTGAATGTAAATCTTCAGTTATTATAAATTTTATAAATATTACCAATCCAAATGGAGCCCAAAGTGCACCAATGAAAATGAAATTAAAATTTAAAAATCCATTATAGATATAATAACTGAGAGGTTCTGTTCCATAAAGATTTGGACCATGATTAGTAAAAACATTGTACATTACAATGTTTAACGGTGCTATTACTAATTTGCCATAATACATTGAATCAATCCATACCATTGGTACCAATATAACAACACCAGATATGATAACCCACTTTATAAATTTAATCCAATCCTGTTTACGAATTAACATTTCTATTGCAATTGGAAATCTATATGGAAAAATAGATAGATGTTTTCATATGCTTAACTTTCTTGTAGATTAGGAACATTAATTATATATATACATATAAATAATACCCAAGTAATGCAGCAAAGGGCCACCCTAATAAGGCAGATATAGCAGTGGCGAAGATAGCCAATTCATACTGACGACCATACCAAGCTGCTGTAGCAACAGTGCTTAAGTACCTACATAAAAATATGGAAAATCATTTAAACAATCAGTATTTCATTGTTTGTTTACATATTTTTTCATTACATACATTGAAAAAGAAGATGGTAAGAATGCAGCACTAGCAATGTACATTCCAGAACTCACAATAAGGAAGACTAAAGTTAATCTTCCTATATGAATTCCAAATTCTCTGCACACATTTCTGAAAAAACAAAATTCAACTGATATTTCTATTGATTTTGTTATTAATGACTCTGTGGAAGAAAACGTACTTATAAAAGTACACTTCAGACAGTGCACAACCCACGCACAACAGGCACCTTACAAAATAGAAGACTAGAACAGGATTTGGTTCCAACAAATAATGATAAACCTTTGCTGGTACCATATGAATTAACAAATACACATAAGATCTTAATGCATATTGGGGACTGTATTCCCACGTCTGTTGACCAGTTCCATAAAGCAAATAGTGGCTCTACAATAAAATGAGAAATGCAATGGATGAAATCAAATACCATTATAAAATAAATATGTTTATTAAAACAAAATAATGTGATACAAATATATAAATTTGTACTTTTAACATAAAAAACATATTGATTTTGACTAATACTAAATGCATTATTTGAAATAATATAACACATAAGGGTATAAATTACTCCTTACTGGTTCCCAATAATTATATGTTTCATCGCAATCTGTTATATGACTCCATATAGCAGAAAAAAATCTGACTGACAAAAGCAATTTAAACGCTGTATCCACACTAGGATAAATAAGACCAACATCAGATGATTCTTCTGGTCTGAAACATATGTCTTTAGTTTTTTTTGTGATTTATTGTTTAACACCTTATTCAATACCCATATTGAACTTTTATGTTTATTTTCAATTGCTGTAGGTAAATAAAACTATTCCAAATTAGTTGTATATACAAATGAAAAAGAATATGTTAAGTTCACAAAAATGATTCCATAACTTGTTCGAAGTATCTGTAATTTATTATCAAATACGTGTAATGTTAAACAAATACGAAAGGTTAACCGGCAAACAATATGTTCAAGTTTGATTGAAACAATATAAAAACAAATATATCTAATTCATTCGTATCAGTAGAGTGTCCAAAATATTATTTCTACTTTGAGAATCTTCTGCCATTGAGCTTTTTCAATTCTTTCTTTGAAATAAAAAGCTGACGTTGACGTTGGTTCGGCGCCATGATCTTTCAATACTTTTGAAGTGTGGTATGTGCGGGTGTTGCACTATACATGGATAAGTATGTACTAAATGCACAGGACAATGACGACGATTAAATGTAGATACGTGTCCATTTTCTTTAGTACACCCAAAAGATTCAAACCGTAAGTAGAGCTCTATTTTGTGTAATATATTTAATGATATTTATAAAATTAAATGATATGTATAATGATATATAATTATAAAAATTGTCTTCAACAATATTGCGTTATCCGTAAAATTATTTTGAATCAGTGGTATGTTTCAATAATTGTCTTACGATAAATCGTTTAAGCCGCTTTTTACCATTCGTTTTCTTAAGATATTAAATTTTATTTGAGGAATAAAAACAGTTACAATTAATGTTGAATGATCTCGGTGCAAGAGACTTCAGTAATTTAATTGTACCATTTAACCAAGATTTGATTTTATTAACTGACTGTATAAAAAATATATTGCTACTATCCTTTAGTTAATGGTTCAATATATATAAAATTGGAAGCTTGTGCTACTAGAATGGGCATGGTTGATCTAAATTGAAAAACATACATTTTCGCGATTCAAGTTGATTACGTTATCGATCTAGAAATCCAAGATTGATTATAGCGCCATTTTCCAACAAAGGACATTCTCTGAAATATTTAATAACGAAACGTAACGATTAGATAGAAGTTACTTCCCGAAACTTTTTTAAGTCTCACAATTCATAATTCCGTGATAGAAAATTTTATAAACTATATAAGATGTTGAATTAAAAGTATATCTTTATTTCAATTATGAAAAAATAAATTATAATTATTTAATATTTAAAATTGTATCGTAATATTTGTCAATGGAATGACAAAATTCCAAATCAGATGTAATCATGTTTAGTAATTTCACTGAAATGAACGTCTTTCGTTTCCATAGTAATGATGTAATTGTTGAAAAATGGAAGTGGAACCGAATTATACATTTGTGCCTCTTGCTCAAAAGAATTATGTAGAAATGACTAATAAAACAACGCAAAGTTTGCTTTCTAAATGGTAATTATCTCATACCTCATAAGTTTCATATGGAAATCACTTTTTAGGTTGCATCAAGTATTCTGAAACATAATTTATTTTCTTATTTTATAGGGGAATAAATGGAAATTTTATTATCCAACATTTTTCATTCAATGAACCTTTTCAACAGTATCACAAATATCATTTAGCAGATGTTAGTTAATTAATTATTAATTAATACAATTTGTTATTTATTTATATATTATTTTTATACATTTACTATAATTACTTATAGGCATTCTTTAAAGATAATATTGTTCGAAAAAACTTATTAACAATGCAAGGAAATCATTGGGTAAAACAAGGTAATAACAAAAATATCACTTGTAATAAAGTAATATTTATTGTTAATCTTTTTTATAATTATTAGGCATAACACCAGCCACTGTAGAAATTAAACCTGTGCCTTGTTCTGTTTTGAGTATGTCTTTCTTTAATAAATTAAAAAATCCAGAAAATGGGATAGTATATAAGTCAGGAGCTATTCGTAAAAAATATGACATGGAAATTCATAATTTTCTAATTTCTGATCATCTCAGAGGAGTATATATTTTCATTCATTTTACAAATATTTCATTCTTAAAAATTCTTTTATTTCATAACATTTATAGATGCTATTAGATGAAGAGTGTCCAGAATATAATTTATATACAAAAGATGAAAGAGAGGAATTTATATTTCGTATTTTTCAAATGCTTGTTTTTGGAGGTATATTGTGTCAATACGAAGAAACATTAGATCCATATTTAGATGCTACCAAAGCTATTTACAAAGATTTAATAAGGTTCTGTAATTTATTTATAATCTTTTCCATTTATGTGTAGCAAAACAATGAATTTATTGTTTAATTATTTTAGAGTACAAAAACAAAGTGACACAGATTTAACAGTCAGCACATTAGTTCTAGAAGTAGTAGCCAAAGATGGAAATGGTCAAGCATATTTTCCATGTAATCCATCTCACATACAAAATATTGGATTCCTATTAGTTGATAACAGGACTCGTGAAATTACAACATTTTTACATCAATTTGGAGAATATTGTTTATCCAAGGAAATATAAAGTTGTCAGAAGAATTATATACTAGACAACTGGTTATTCAATAAAATGCATATATTGTATAAACATTAAAATACTTGAATTATAATTCTCCTATAATAAGTAATAATTTGTGCATTATGTATATTATACACACTAATGTAAGATTAATGGTATTTTTAAAAAAGAAGTTTTTGTTATGAACATTCTTACCTCGGTTGTACCACAAGTTTCACTCCATCCTATATGTATATATTTACAAATGTATTTTACATTTAATATTTTATCGAAAATACTTAATTAGCAGTTAATAATTTGGTTTACATTTGATTACATTAAACTGTAGTAATTATGCTATATGTCTTATTGCGATTTGTTTCTCTTATGGTTAATAAGTGCGTATAATGCTATATTCCATAGACTTGATAAGTGTTATAATAAATATATAATTACTGAAAACTAAATACTAATTATATACAGACTGTGAAACAATAAAAAAAATATATTCCTTATTAAGTTTATAACAATACTTTGGCATTTTATAGAAATATGTTGGAAAAGTACATTCTTTTTAATGATGATCTCAGATATACTTCAAAATTTATAAATTATTGCCTATTCACTCCTTACAGTAACAATATTTTCTTAAATGGTATAATGAATTTTCAACACATCTTGCTTGAGATCCATACATATTAATTCTACTGATATCTGAAATCTAAAAGTCAATAATAGTTATTATATAGTCTTATATATTTATTATTTTTTCTTGTTTATGAAATGTAATAATATTAAACATACCCTTGTTGAAAAAGTATTTTTCTTCATATCATATGTAATGCTTACTTCAAACAATCCATCTCCTGGATCTGTTTTTACTTTCACTTGATAAGTTTCACTGGTCAGTTTTGTTCTTGCACTAAAGTCTCCAATGAAACCATCTAAATCTCCAGATTTTTGAAATTTTAATAAGCCTATAATTTAATTCTTCGTTATTTTTGAGTGAATATAGAGTTGAATTTAACACATAATTAAAAATTAGAATCTTGTATATACCTGTATTAGGTACAAATTTAGCGGCCCATAATATTTCCTTCAGTTGTAACTTTTCGCATATATTACGATATTCTTCCGTATAAGCATTAAGAAACTGTACAAAATATTTGGCTGCAGCAATTACATTGGTATCTTGAGTTGAAATTTCTTGCCAACTAAGACAAGCACACCAATGCGGTTCTATAAATGCATCTTTACATGTTCTTTCTAATGGTATCTATATTATTATGTAATAAGAATAGTAAATTGAGATTGTTGATTATATAGCTAGATTTTATAAATTAAGAACTGATATAGCACTTACCTTATCAAATAAACTAATTGCTCTTTGGTGACGATCACCATCCTTCGGAGTTTCAAAATTCAATATATTTTCTAATGTTTTGTGTACATCAAATGGCGTTGTTAAATAATGAGTGTTATGCAAAAAATTCGCGTATGCTTTTGGGTAAACTTTTTTGAACCATGGAGGAAAAACAAAGGAGAAAAACGGAAGTCTCTCTTCTTGTTTACCCTGTAAAGTGTTGCGAATTTCTGCAAATCTTAAAAATATATGTTTTTTAATTTAGATAGCAACACCCTCTTGTTGTTATGAAAAAGTTAATTATGCTAAATTAATTAACACAAACCTGTGTCCATGATCACTCATTAATATTAATAATGTATTATTCAAGTGACCAAGTTCATTTAAATCTTTTATCCATCTACCTAAGTCTCCATCTACTACTCCTATATCATTGTAGGAATCATGTGAAAGTTCTCCATGAAATCCAAATAAGAATTTTGGTTGATGTTTGTAAACATTGAAAATTTCTTTCATATAATTCAACATTACCTATAAGAATACTGATTACTGATTAACTTATTCCTTGTATTTATCTGCAATTATTATTTAAAAAATGTCAATATACCATATGTAATGGAATGCTTCCAATACAGAATTTGTTGAAATATCTGAAATATGGAGTAGCAGCTAAATAGTATGTTCTCATATAGTGATCTGTTGGTTGTTCCTTAAAACCTTTCAGGCGATATGTGAAAGTTCCAATATGATGTACGTCTTCCATGAATCCTGTTATATACCCTTGCTTTTTGTACTGATTCCATATCATTGGATACACATTAACAAACTTTGCTTTTTGTCCCATCCGTTTTCTTGTGTCTGGTAATTCAAGCTCAATTTTTCCAGTAAGGATAGGAATGAGTGCTTGAGGTGTCCCATCACCTACTATGTTATATCCTTCTAGAACTAAAGCACCTAAGTCTTCTTTTAAGTACTGATATGTTTTTGGCAATTTGCGTATGAATGTATTCCGAGATAGGGAATCAAAACCCAACATGAGTACATTTAGTTTAAGGGCATTGTTTGCAACATTTTCCCATTTACTTTTTTCTTTCTCCTGAGGATCAAATTTTACTCCAGCCATAATACTGTGCCATCTAAAAAATGTTCAATTAACAAGAGTATTACAGAATATATTAATTGAATAACTTTACTTACTTATTGCCATTTTTTGATACACATTTGACATCTACAAAATCACTGTTTCTAAGTTCATAGTAATCATTAGATTCAACGGCAGTCATAAATATTACATTATAATCATCGTCTCTAAGAATTTCTGTACAAGAACATAATTATAATTAAAATACATAGTGGTATTCATTACAATAATATTATTGTAAAGATTATTTGATTTACCACTAAAAGAACATTTTATCAAGCCATGTTTTTTCTTTGCTTTATCACTGATAATAAGTTTCGAACCGCTAACTATGACCCAATCTTCAGGTGTACATATTAAAGGAGGAACACTGTGTATAAATTTTGTAATTTCTGGGTTATATACATCCAATTGAGGTAATTTGCAAGCCACAACTCCTTCTCTAGAAGCATGCGCTGCCTCAGTATCATTTATATTTAAAATATAGACAATTTTACGTTTCAGTATTTGTTGAACAAATTGGAAATTACATACCCAACATTAGTTTGCTCCGATTCTTCAATTAATTGAGATATGTGTATTCTAAAACAATTTAAATGATTATAACAGTCATGATAAAATTTCATAGAGTAAGGGATTAAAAACTTGCTTACAATTTATCCAAATTTGATAAATCATTATCAGCAAAATACAATTTCAGTCGGAAAACTTGAATAACACAGAATATGAAAGTAACAAATAATGCTGTTATCAAGATACGTCGGAAATAGCATGACAGAATCATCATTGTTATTCAGTTTATCATACCTGTAAAAAAAACTTTCAGTTTTGTCTTTTATCTTTCTAGTCCTGAAAGGAAAAAGATTTAATAATAATACTTATTAATCATACATTCATGTAAGAAACAGTCTAGAAATTGAAGAAACAATACCACTTGACTCAATAACTAGTTCAAAGGTTTATTAATCAATACCTGAAATGCCATGAATGTCACGCAGCAATTAATGAGCTCCGATAAAACCACGATAAGTAAATTAAATAGGTGAACATTTAAGAACAATAGTTCGGATTTCTCTGTCAAAATATTCTATTTGTAGGTACGTACGTAGAAGTCCCCAGAATTGAACTACATGAAACGGATAATGCCGTATATCCGTTCGCTTACTGCCAACCCCACAAACAGCTAATTGTATATATACATTTACTTAAATACATACCTATGCTGCGTGTCCCTGTTCTATTAATATTCACACAAATTTATTTTATTTTATGAAATACGATACCCTCAGTATCATCGAAGTAAATCAATATGAACGCAGAAAAGAATTTAAATTAATAATTTGTGCTTTAAATTCTTATACACCTCTCCTCTGATTTCCGGTTTATAAAATACATACATATATTTCTTTTATTTTACATTTTAGTTTTTACGGTTCTTCGTATCAACACGATTTCGATTTACACGGTTTTCTGAGGAACCGATCACCTGTGTAAATCAGGGGAGCGGTGTATATTGATAGCCGAAGAATTGTATGTAAATAAAAAGCGTCCTCAGTTCTGATCAATGTTCATAACCGGAAATTATTTCACTATGGATATTTCTGAATATTGTATATTAAATAACACTGTGTTTTGCTTTATAAATGTTCAACCATATGTGCACCATGCTCTGGACTGACTCAACAGTTCGACTGGTAACGGTTCGATAAGAATGGAATGAATAATCTAGAATTAATCATCAAATATTAAACAGTTTTATGTTTTCAACGATTTTAATATAAAATGTTGTTACTTAAATAATATAAAATACGCATAAATCAGTCACAAAATATAAAAACACGTACTTCCATGTTGATACACTTTTTACTCCACGGAACTTGAAATAATTTATAAATAATTAGGGGATCATAGTGCTAAAAAGAAATATTTCGAAGAAAACTATCGACATTTTCTATTTAATAAATATCCCGTTTATATTTGACGTTTAAACTCTACTGAAAACATAGAAGACTATGATTTCCTAATAGTTTCAAGTACAATAAAAAAGCACTACTTATGATTAAATGATATTAATTAATATTTATAACAAGATAATAATACGCCTCGACGAAGAAATTAAATGTGGACAAAAATTATAGGATGTGCTATGTAAAAGTCTTAATTCTCTACAAATTTTCTTCACATATTTCTAATTACGTTAAGGACTTCTATCAATGGTAAATATGTTTTATAAAAATGAAGCTGCAAACAGAGTGTAGAAAACAAGAAGAATATACGTACGCTAAACGCAGACTGTTTATATACGAAAAAATTGTGAATTCGGCTTAGACGCGTGTCGCTCGCTCAAACCGCATAGAAACGCGTGTAGTGGAGCAACCGCGATCGATAACTGGCTTTGTTTGAAAATATTCTCAGGAATATTTTCAAATATTCCACAGATATTCCTTTTATACTGTGCACTAAAATTGATCTAGCTTCGAATAGTTCGATTAAGATAAAATAAATAAATAAACTTTACCGTTTACACTAACGATAAATTACTTTAGGAATAGATTTAGTAAATAAAGAAAACATGTCGCTCGAAGATCTAGTCACAATAAATATATCATTAAAAATGAGAGAGAACATAATAAGTTATAATAAATTCGTACAAATATAGTCACCGATGCCGGTTAGTCGTGTGCGTTTCAACGGCAACTAAAAGTTCAGGAAGATGAATTCGCCGTTTACGTAACATATTTTTCACTAATACATCGATCGAATTATATTATTATAATATAATGATATTATATACATTACAATCATTTAAAACATCTACTTAACGAAGCTCGGATGATTACTCGATGAATTCCGTTACGCTGGTTAATAAAATACACCTAGAGTGTGTATTCGTTATATCCATTACGATACGATAGACATGCAAAAGTCAGTGCATAGCAATAACTTACATTTGTCGCGAGACTAGCTATAAATCACTATCTTGGCGGTCGGTCGACAGTGTTCAAAGTACGGCTTTACCATGGTTATAGGATCTTGCTTTGCGCGAGGCCATCTTTTCTTAACGTCAAACGAGAAAACCGTCGGAACTGTAACCCAAGAATACGAATTTCCAGTGACTGAATAATAGTTTGTTCGGATGCGTAGCGTGCGCATGATTACCCTTGTCTCTGACGACTGGCTCTCTCCGTGGTCGTTCGCATGAATGATACTGTTTCGCGGATGTTCCTCGTTACGCCTCGCGACACGTACTGGCATGTATCTGTTATACGTCAAGATTAAATAATCAGGTGTCAGGCAGACGATAAGGATGACTAGAGTCAGCAACCAAAACGATATCGACGAGAGTATTTTTGGGAAGACCATCAGCATGTCGCCGTCGTACCGCCTAAAATAGATGTATAGTATTAGTTATAGTTTCTGCAGTTTCAACGATGGAAATGTCTGCGATTTTAAGAAAACACCGTGAGGTACGAATCACGCGTTCCTCTGTCGCGATATCGCAGCTTTAACTCTTTCGCTCTGATAATAAATGAATAAAAGTGCTGAAACATTATAATAAGAAGTGTACAAGAATGTTTAAATTTTCCTTTTACGAGTAAGGAACAAAAAATGGGAAATATAATTTACGATGTGTTGGATGACCAACCTAATGACGCACCATAGATAAGCGTCCTAGACCCGCCGCGTCCAAAATATCTTACTCAGCATGTTTTTCACAAGTCCAAAATCCTAGATACACAAATGTCTCATCCAGGACTAGTCTCATCTATAACGAGTCATCAGGTACCAAGGGTCACCGACATCCCCTCCTTAGCGAAAAGCTTAGTATATAAGAATTAGAATCTCTAGGATAAAGAGTTATTCTTTCAACCCTGTTGGTTAACGGTCTGTCCGAAATTGTCTGTTTCCGCGTCGTTCGATGTGTTATATCTGGAGAATACGTACAAACGCCGAAATATAATTATTATTAACGAATCGGACTTCGCGTCATTCATCCGGATCCCAACAGATGTGACGAACGTGGACTGGATTTTCGTTTCGATTCGATTCAACATGTGATCCGATTCATATCGGTCCACTCTATATACACTATTATTTTATGTACCCGGCAACATTTATTAACAACGTGCTTTAATTGTCTGTGTCGATTCGCAAGCGACGCGTCTTGCTCACGGAGATCGCATTTTTAAAAAGGGTTAAACCTTCAAGATTCTCTTTCCGATTAATAAGGTTAGTGTTGTTATTTAATATTATTTTAATAAGTTTTTAATCTTGATCGATGAATGTTCTAAGCATACTTACACGTGTACAAGAGAATAGCAGATAGAGAACAGAAGGAACACTACCTCTGAAAGTACCACTGACAAGACCAACGGTAATGTCCAATACGAGCTGTGCAGTAATACCTGAAAATTACAAAGCACACGTATATAGACTCGTTTACTTATCCCCGTATTTTCTCGGTACTGAAGATTTTAATACACATACGTACCTGTATATTAGCCACGAACGTAACTATATGAAAAATAAATGTGCTGAATGTCCATTGATCCACCGGTGTATTATTATACAAAAAGATGGGATTAATACGTATGGTAACTTGCGTCATAAAATATATGGCAATGGCATGCCAAATACCTAAACAAACATTCGTATGACATTCAGTAATTAAATCCAATTCTGCATCGGGTAGTTTTCTCGTTAACAAACAGCGTTATCGTTTACCTAGAAAGCTCCACAAAAGTATCTGCTTAGTATTTAATAAATAATTATGTCTGTACATTTTATATAGATAAGGGAAACGCAGCAGTACATTGGCGCTGTAGTCTTGCTCCAGTATTCCGTATAGCACTATTGGTAGACACGTGAATATCGTATTGTAGAACATTAAGAACATACTGTCGTAAAACACCTGTAAACGAACAACTGAATCAATATTCCGCAATCATCATTTGATATTCCGGTAGTCGTTACATTACCTGGATCGAGAAACCGCTGTCCAAACCGAAAAACAGCTGCGGCGTTATAAACAAGAGGTTCTTGTAAAAAAAGTACAACGTTAGCGTACTTATCCGCATGTAATACCAGTGGCCGTGGACTAGCAAGGCTTTTTTCAAAAATCGAAACTTTGCTATCGCGAAATCGGAGCTCATCGACGCTTGTCGGCCCTCTTTGCCCATTATCCCGATCCCGACGTGCGCTTCTTGTATCATCGCGATGTCGTTGCCACCGTCACCGATAGCGGCGGTGTGCGGTCGAGAGCTAGCGCATTTAATCAAGCTCACTATCTGCATAGTATTAAATTGCGAAACATCAGGCAATGAGAATCTTGACTATTTAATTATCTTTAGTAGTAAAAATTAATGACGTTAAAAATAATTATTACTGATTTATTGCAACGGTTCACATGTTACACTGTTATCTAACAGTTGTGTGGGGTGTGTGCGTGAACGGAGTGGTCGCATGAGTGGGACGAGTGAATAGTGTGAATGATGGGTGACTGTTTAGGCTAAGGTTCGAGTGTCGCAACGAAAAGTATCGAGACGGGTGTAGCGGGGTACGGGGTGCACGAGAGAGGGTGGCCATAGGCAATAGGTTTTTCCAGCCGCAGGTCAGAGAGTTGTAGCGAGTCATAGTGAGAGGTTGACGAACGGAGAGTATAGTGAGAGATATTGTGAGCAGCGACGTAAATAAAACCATTTAGTTTATTCTAACCCAATGATTATTTCCTACAGTTGTCTGTGTTGCGAAATATTTTCATTTGATATCAATCTTCTTATCGTAACTGTTCTCAAACTATTAATATCTAACATGGAACTTGCCTCGCTCTTTTGCAATGGAGTCAGTCTGCAACAAACCACTGCTTCACAGGTCATTCCTAGTGACTGGAATTCGTCCGGGCAGTTGCTCAACGCTATCCCTATGCTATGTCCGTCAACTATCAGTCCGTAGTGTTTATGAGGTTCGAGTTTCATTCGTCGGCTAAAACAAACAGAAGTGAACTTCCATGATGTTCTGCACTGGTGAAGTCACCGGTAACACAGCGGAAGAGTAGTAGATTACACTCACTCGAAGTACCCGATACGTTCGATGCACATTTCCTCTGTCGTTATGTCCAACATCCTCAACACTTCAGTACCATCTTTGAACTGACCGCACAAGAAAGCTATATTCTCCGCGGTTTCGGCTTTGTCCCCGGTCAACACCCATATCTATGCGAAAAATTGATGTGATCGGGGGACGGATTAAATCGGGAGTGCAACTGTATTACAGTTTAATTATAATTATCTCTGAGAGGCTCACTTTAATACCAGCGACACACAAACACTCCAGCGTTTCCTGCACTTCTTCCTGAAGGCGATCCTCAACCGCGGTCACACCAAGCAAAGTGAGACCGCTTTCCAACTGATTATAAGCCTTCTCCGTGTACGTTTCTCGCTCGATGCCGATTACTTGCCTGGCGATTTCCACCTTCTCTATCAACTTCTCGTATTCCGTTCGATTCATTTTCTTGTACGCGATTACCAGTATCCGCAGACCTCTCTGAAAGATGGATTCTTTTTAATTGGATTTGAATTTGTGACGAAGCTGGATTGGAAGCAGACAGAATGGATTAAAGTTGAAAATCGAACCATAGAGAAATCAGCTACGTGAGCGATCGTTTCATTGATCTTTCCTGAGACTATTAACGGCAAGATAGCCGAATCCGCTCCTTTGCAGTACAACAAGTAATCGTCGTTGTCGTCTTTCACTATCACCGACATCCTCTTTCGTTCTGTTTCAATGAAGTAGATGTTGTTAATCTTTTCTCTACAGGTTACGATCTGTTTTGTACAATACGAACCGGATGTGAACTCCAAGATCTCCATCTTCTGAAAGATCATTGTATTATCTTTGACTTTTATCTCGATCACGTCGTTGGTGCTGTTCTGGAAAATAATTCCGCATCTTGCGCTGGCTTCTACCAAAGCCTTCTCATCTGCTGATGCTGCCTACGAAACAGCGATATTCTCATTAATCGTATATCTTCATCCGACCTTCCTGAATGCTACATTCAACTCCTTAATTTCTGTTGGCTCAATAAATTATAAATAAAAATCCAGACGGATCTGCTATGATGTCATCGCAAACGTCCACTTTCCGAGGGTTAATAAGACATGGCGTTGGTCTTCCGTGAAGCTCTTAAATTAGACTCATTCCGAGAGAGTAATATTGACATTCTCATTTAGATGATTTATCCTGTCACGTGTCACGTTAACACGCGTCGAAAAGCAAGCGTGGCGTGAACTGTTTCCAGCTACAGTTGATCAAAGATAAAAATACGCGGCGAAGATAATCGTAGTGACGCCGCTGACGTAAAACCAACATATTGTTACCTGGTATTCCGGTAAATCCGGATGCATCATTAACGAGCTGTTTACTCGAGTGATCTTCTTTTGCCTGAAGCTTTCGCGATACTCGATGCGTCGCGCGATAACGTTCGGCCTCATGCTCGGTGGCGAGAGTTGGACAGTGTGGCACAGAGAAATGCTTAGCATGAAGTGCCAGATGTCAGACTGCGACCACAATTATCGAAATGGACGTTTTAATTCGATGAACTAAAAAGACGTGTGAATTCGAAATTTCAATCACCTCCCAGTCCATCAGCTTCACGGCTTCCGCTTCGTTTCCGCTAGGTGGCAACGAATACAGGAATCCGTCGCAGTCTTTTTCCATATACGTTTTCCCGTTGATAGAACAACGCCTGAACACCATTAGGTTCTCGGTCAGCGTGCCCGTCTTATCTGTGAACAGGAACTCGACCTGACCTAGTTCTTCGTTCAGGTCCGACGTGTTGGTCAACGCTGGCTGATCCCTCTTCTCGTCGTACAGGTCCAAGTCCCAGCTGAAGAAAAACGAACCGAGGAATTTTTGTACTTCTGTAACGAGAACGGTTGATCGAAACTTGTCAGGTATTCCTTTGTTGTTCAACAAATCATTGCGAATCGCAATCGTTTCAAGCAGTTTGAGATTTAATTCTGAGGCGAGCACCTGGATGTGATACGACAGTCTTAGTACCAGGTTTACAGACATGTATCGTGCAGTTTATTATATTGTTCGCAGAAAAATCGGCGTTCGTTGATTTAGATCTTGACAATCGGAGATTGAAAGATAGACAATTAAGGTATATACTCGTGTGATTACGTCAACATCAAAAATCGACTTAATCATTTACCAAATAACGTTTATAAAATTCAGCATGCGTGAAACCGACGCGTTCTGTAAACCTAAAGTTAACATAGTATTTTGAAAGACAAATAGCTCTCACCTATAGTTACGTACAACGATATAGGAACTATGTAATTGTACAAAACCAGGAAGCCGAAGAAATCATCGACCAACAAGGGAAAGCTGAGGGTTTCAGGATCACCGATGTACTTTTTCCATTTTGTCGTCATATCCAGTATAATTTTCACCATGCAGCACCCTATCACTTCGACGAACAGAAATATTACGAACGCGACGATGTACTTGTTAATGGATCTGCAATCAGGTATCTTATTACTCCTTGTGAAATAATCGACAAGGTTATTCGCGACGGTAGCAACGAACGCGTACTATTCTTTCATTGAATCTCGTTGAGAAGCTCTTACTTTTCGGTAGTAGAGAATTTGTTGCCTCTGATTTTTGAATTCAAGGATAACTTTGTATCCTGACCGGTATATACCGCGCATCCGACTATGTGTTCCGTATCTTTCAATCTGCATCCACGAAGCAACAGATTTTCGTGAGTCAAATGACCGCTGATTTCGCAGCCGCCATTTGCAATTTCCAGCTTGCCGTGAAAACGATACAGGTCGGAAGTGGGATGTTGACAAATGACGGTAGCCTCCATTGATGCGATTTCCTCTGCAGTCATGTCCGAGAGCACCTTCGGCAGTGTCAGCGTCTAAACATGCAACAATGGATCACAGATATGGTACAAAAGAATTTTTCGAAATGTTTTGACAGAATATGTTCCCCTTTCAAATTAGTTCCCTATTTAAATAAATTACCTTTAAATTAGTTTCTCCGTCCAGATTAGCAGTGGTAACGTAGCAACGTTCGTTTTCCTCCGTGGTGTACAGCAACAGGAGATCGCAAGGTATATCTTCGTCTCGAGATATCTTGACCAGGTCACCAACCACTATATCTTCGCAGTGAATTGTCTGTAGGTGTAACAATGTATCAATTATTTTGTCAGTCCTGGCGTTTAAGTATTACAAGTTAACTTCTAGTATACTGATAGTATATCAAACACGACGACGGGTTCGCTATATATCTTGAGATTAGCATCGTAAATTTTGTTGTCAGTTTCCAGCGTCAGTAAATAAAGCCGTATGCAGCGAGTATGTGCATATATCTATAAAAACATGTTCAAGTATGCAAACACACTTGCCTGGGCGCACTTGTTGCGGATAACGTTTACGTATCGTCGATTCACGTGCTTGTCTTCTTTATATCTCTGGTAATCCTCGTATGCCTGTTTGCATGCCGTCACGGCCACCACGAAGCTCAACGGTAGAATCGTGGTCCAACATGAGATCGGGGATTTCGTTAACGTTGACACGATCGCCGTAATAAGAAAATACAAGTTCGCAATCCGCCTGAACTGCTCGAAGAGGTTCTTCGGCACGAAGTTCCAAATAGTGTACTGTAAAAGTGATCATTTCCCATTAAACGTTTTAACCGACGTGCTCTTTAACAATCGAGATCGATGCTTACCTTCTTCGACACGATACGATTCTTTGGGAATATCGTTCGCGACGGTTCGTTACTCGGGCTAATGATTATATTCCTTTGATCAGTGTATCTTGAAGTCGAGGTACCCTGTAAACGTGTCTAATTACCAAATATTCTCATCAAATCTACGTAACGAAATTTCAGTTGAACCATTCCGACGCTACTTGTATTTCTAAATTATAATAGTATTATTTCTAAGACGAATGTGTTATTCTTCAGACTTCCATGTATGTGTAGTGCTTTTTGAAACAAATCATTCAACGTTTCATCAGCTAACATCATTAGCAAGTCGAGTGTGAAACTTGATCCTGCAGAGTATTGCGATACAACTTACACTTGGAAGCCTGAACAGTACGAACTGCGCAACACCGAGTTGTACGAAAGTTTCGAATCTCTGGTTACGCTGAAATTCTAGAGGCTTGAAAAGTTTTATTACAAACTTGCTTCCCAAAAAAGTATCACATAGGTGTAAATATGCTCAGTCCGTATTAAGATCGGTATGCGAATCCATTGATCGGACTTCAGTATTGTTTTCCGAATGAACCGCATTAGTCTCGCCCGGAACGCCTTGATATTTTTTTGAAATATTATGTACGGAAGATTAATGAGATCGTCTAAGCCTTGAGTAACATGATTGATATCCGGTTCATCTTGTTTGTCCGATGTCTCCATTAAAGAAATCTTTGTCTTTTACACTTCACCCGTCGATGCCTGCGTTACGCATTGTTCTGCAAAACCTTTCATCAGAAATTCATCGCTGTTTCACTGCTCCACTGTAAACAGCGAGGAAAGTTGCACCGGCGCGTACCGATTCGTTTGTTTTCATGTCCCGCAATCATAATCGTTGCATTTGTGGCTTAATGTCGTCGGCCATGACGGTGCAATCGTGCGAAGCTCGCCGCAGAAACGACCATCGGAACCGTCAAGTGTCACGCGAATGTGACTCCTCGTAGCAAATGAAATTCGAGTAAATGCGGAAACAGAATTCAAAATCATTCGTGCGTTTCTGTAGTATTTCCTCGATACGATATTTCGATCGTGCTTAGAAACAAATGGGGATATGTACACAAACTTATGGTCAGGATTTCTCGTCCAGTATCTGTGTCGCTGTTGCCGGCGTACACATCCGCAAATCTCTCGTATCAAATTTCCCGCGACATACGATACGCAAAAATGGTTCGCGCGATTCAGATACGATGACACTCGCAAGTTCGAATACCTACTTAACATGACCAACAGTCAGTACTTGGACCACATATACCAGCTATGGCTGAAGGACCCATCGTCTGTGAGTCCTTCGTGGGGTCCCTTTTTTCAGTTTGTACACGGAAATAACCCAACGAACCCGTCGATGAGCAAATCATCGTCATTGCGCTTCGCATCGGCGCCTGCTGTGGTACCGTCGAATTTAGTAGCTCCGCCGACAGGTGGATCATGTTTTCCGTATTCACAATAACATATAAACTAACATTCTTTTCCTTCCTTTGCCTTTATTTATTACTTTCGTTATATCTACTTTTTCTACGTTGTTTTAGGCTTTATTGTTAATACTTTGTACCAAAATATTTCCGTAAATAAAGTTACTATATTATTATTATATTAATATGAACTCAGTCGTTCTCCGCTTTTGTTCACAGCGCCTAATTTCCCCCAGCAAAGCGCAAGAACGAAGACCGACAGCGAGCTGCAGGGCGATAGCTTCATAAATGGTGCCTTGGACATCAACGCCACGATTAGAGCTTATCAGGTACCGATCGTGAATTAAGTGTAAGATAGAGCGTTCCATCCCTTTGTCTTGGTTGGGTGAATTGATGACCGGTCCTTTAATCGAAGGCACGTGGCCATCTGATCGCCGACATCGATCCGCTTCGCATACAAAACCCGGAGTCCTACAAGCTTCAAGGCACAGCAAATTTGCCACCGAAGATCGTCGTCAGACACCATTTGAAAGGTATGACCGAAGCCGACATGAACAGAGAGTTTCCCCTCGCGCCATTCACCGTGATCGGCGGACCCAAACGAAGTCTCCCGTTGCGCGAGATACTGACCAGGTTGAACCAAATTTACTGTGGACACTTGGGCCTCGAGTACACTTACATCCATGATCTCGTGGTGGTAAGTTTGGTTCAATGTTTCGATTTGAATTGAACTTTATCTTCGATTTCGTTGATCATTCATCAGCTGGACTGGCTCAGAGAAAGATTCGAGCCACCAGGCGCTTGGGAACTTCCAGTGGAACACAGGAAGTTCATTTGGTTGAATATCATGAGAGCAGTGACGTTCGAGGGCTTCTTGGCGAGGAAATACCCTACCGAGAAGAGATTCGGCCTCGAAGGCTGCGAATCCTTTGTTCCCTCCATGGTAGAGTGCATAGAAACATCCGCGGATAAGGGTATATCTCTCAACGCATTTTTTAAAAAATATATCATCTACCAATCGAATGGAACATTTTCGCAGGGGTAGAATCTGTCGTGATAGGCATGGCGCATCGGGGTCGCTTAAATACCATCATTAACGTTTGCTCGAAACCTCTGCATCAATTGCTCACTCAGTTCAACCCGATTCCTCTGGAAGGCTTCGGGTCTGGCGACGTGAAGTACCATTTGGGAATGCACACAGAGAAAGTGTTGGAAAGGTTAGGATTTTCCGAACACGCTAAGAGTTCGCGGTAAACATTAATACTGGGTTTCAGTAGAACGAACAAGAAGGTGATGATCGCCGTTATGGCGAATCCGTCGCATTTGGAGGCGATCGATCCCGTAGTGGTTGGTCGCATTCGGGCGGAACAAGTGGAGAAAAACGACGCGAAGCGTACGCACGCGATGCACTACTCTTGAAATAATGGTTCGCGGTTAATGCCTGATTGTTTGCAGGTGGTAAAAAGTCGATGGCTATTTTGGTGCATGGCGATGCCGCTTTCTCGGGCCAAGGTATCGTTTACGAAACCATGCATCTGACCGATTTACCCGAGTACACGACTGGCGGCGTCATTCATGTCGTGATTAACAATCAGGTAATATTTGTGCCACTCCGTGACAGCGTATAACTGACCCGTGGAATAAATCCAGATTGTTTCGATGAGTTATAGGTTGGTTTTACTACCGATCCAAGGTATTCTCGATCCAGCGTGCACTGCACCGATGTCGCGCGTGTCATCAATGCACCCATATTCCACATACACGGAGACGATCCCGACTTAGTGACTTACTGTAGCAAAGTGGCTGGGGAATACAGGTATTTGTGTTGCAATTAACATTAAAGATCGAACTTTTCTGCGACTTGGTCGGAATATGTGTGTAACAAGATCGTTTCTTTCGTACAAACAAAACAGAGCAGAGTTTCACAACGACGTCGTCATTGACGTGGTAGGATACCGAAGGTTCGGTCACAATGAACTGGATGAACCGATGCTGACTCAGCCGTTGATGTATAAACGCATCAAGGAACATCCGAACGTGCTCACTGTTTATACCGATAAATTGTTCAAAGAGGGAGTGATCACCGAGGCGTTCGCCCAAGAAGTTAGTATACGGAACCAGGAGTAGGTGCAATTGTCTTTAGCTACGTCTACAATCGGAAATAGCAGGTTCGTTTACTGTTTCATAGGAGATACAGAAGTACTGGGATCACTGCGAATCAGAGTTCGCAAAGGCGCAGACGATAGACTCAATGAATTTGAGCGACTGGCACGATGTGCCGTGGACAGATTTTTTCTCGAATCAAAGTCCCAAGAACGGCATCCCGTCCACTGGCATCGATGCGGAGACAATAAAGGCGATCTGCAAGCACATATCAACTCCCCCGAAAGATATTGAAGTCCACGCTCAAGTACGTTATCGGTATATCTGACGTATTGATGACCAGATAATGCGGTAACACTTATAGTAGTTTAATTACTTTATGCGCAGAGGCTGGTTTTCAATTGCGACTATCGAGCAATTTAGATAGGCATAGAGTCACGTGGAACACAATTTTTTTAAAAGAATATCGTCTGTATCTTGTCGAAATATTTCTAGTGAGAAACCTTCGAATGCAAAGGGTTAAGAAATGCTTGAAACGAGATGGTTGTAATAAAAAGGTGGCCTCATCAATTCTCGTACAGGTGCTGAGAGTAATGGATAAGAGAGGACAGCTAATGGAGTCTCGTAAAGCGGATTGGGCGATGGGCGAATGCCTAGCGTTCCTCAGTTTGCTGAAAGAGGGTCATCACGTGCGATTGTCAGGCGAGGATGTCGAGCGAGGTACCTTCTCCCATCGCGTGCACATATTACACGACCAAAGCAAGGACAAGCTTTACAAAAACCTTTTGAACAATGTGTTTCCCGGACAAGCTCTATACACCGTCTCGAATTCTTCGTTATCGGAATACGGTGTTTGCGGTGAGTATAAATGAAATCGTACCAAAAATGAACAAGATATATCAATGCGAATCACGAATACAGGATTCGAGTTGGGCTACTCAGCCTACAATCACAACACGCTGACGCTTTGGGAAGGTCAATTCGGCGATTTTGCGAACACGTGCCAGGTAAACCTAATTATTGAGAAATCACGACAGAAGTTAAAAGATTAGATGATTGTCGCATAGATACCTTTACGTAGAAATGTCGCAAGTTTCGCAAATTGATTATAATTAGATTGGAACGTACGGAATTTCAATATTGTAGTCGATACTCAAACATAGCATTGATTTGTATCTGAATTGTTTGTCTCCGTTATCATTTGGACATGAGGTAATCTTATCGCGAAACCGATGCTATCGTCTTAAATGAGCCTAAAACGCGTGAAATAGTATCACGGAGATCTAACAGGTGTTTCTTCGGTTGCTTGACCTTCAGGTCACTCTAGACACCTTGCTCTGTTCTGGACAGTCGAAATGGGGTAGACAAGTGGGATTGGTTCTTCTTCTTCCGCATGGAATGGAAGGTCAGGGTCCGGAACATTCGTCTGCGAGGCCTGAACGGTTTCTTCAGCTTTGTGATGATGACTGCTCGTATCTACCGGGTACGGAGCCGGGTGCTCCGCAGGGTGAGACTGCAGAGCAGATTATGACCAGACAACTCTTTGAAATCAATTGGATAGTTTGCAACTTGACCACTCCCGCGAACCTCTGCCACGTTCTTCGTCGTCAGATCCTGATGCCGTTCCGGAAGCCACTGGTTAGATGAATCTCTGGTGTCCTTCGCGCAATGGAATTCATCAATGTACAATACTTTTATCCGTTGATCGGTTCGATTAGGTCATCATGTCACCGAAATCTCTGCTTCGTCATCCAATGGCTTTGTCATCTTTCGAGGAAATAGAACCTGGTACTACGTTCCAACCAGTTCTCCCTGACCCATTCGTTAAACCGGGTAACATACAGAAGGTCTTGATCTGCAGCGGAAAGGTGTTTTATGACCTGGTTACAGAGCGCCAGGGAAAACAATTAGAAGATAAAATCGCGATCATTCGTATCGAACAGCTCTGCCCGTTTCCGTATCACCGACTCAAGCAAGAAGTGTCCAAGTATCCGAACGCAAAGGTAAGGAAAATTGATTTCTTTGTACTTTTTGTGCTATTTGAATGATATCGTTCAGTATCGCGATTCAATCAGGTCGTGTGGTTGCAAGAGGAGCACAAGAATCAAGGCCCCTATAATTACGTGAGAGACAGGATAGCGTTAGCCTTAGGGCTTCGTTTAGAAGACGTGACTTATGGCGGACGGGCGCCATCCGCTGCTCCCTCGACTGGCAGCAAGATGATTTACTCGACAGAGTATAACGATGTGATGTCTACCGCTATGAAGCTTGACTGATTATGAGTCACAAGTAATTCGTTTGGTAAAGCTTAACGTAATTTACGTTGTTGCAATATCTTAGGAATACGGCCTTGCGTTGAGGAGATAACGCGAATGAATGAAATTCAACTGACTCACCAAAAGATATAGGTACCTAGGATATTCGACGTTGTAGTACGAAAAAATTCTTTCGTTCAAGCAGTTCCACATTGCATTTTTTGTCTTTTCCCGTGTGGCTGTTTCATTAGAATTCCTATTAGCTACAATAACGAAAGAACAGCTGCACGATGCGCAAACTAAAACTGAACTTGAACTCGTTACAGCCGGAGGTGGTGCTAATTGGCAGCGCAATCTATATGCGTGTACACAGAGATTCATCGAAACTGTTTCGTCCGTGGAAGACATTTCTATTGAGTGTAAACTGTTGGTACATTGTGGTTTTGTCACGGTCAAAGTAATCATGATGCTACCTGAGCAACGGCAGTCGTAGTTAGGTAAAAATTTATAACATAAATTATGTCAGTTTCTTTCTACCGAAATTTATTTTGCATGCGACCTTTACATCGACGTGTAATAAATTTCTGTAATTGGCTAGGTCATTTTGTGCAGATTAACTTGTGCATTGGGAAAAGGAGATCATGTCCTGATGTACTTTTTCAGCTAAAAACAATTAACATGTTAATTTGGACGACAGTAAAGAGTCGCATAAAATTGGACGAAACGAAGTGAACCCATTGATCTGAGATAAACGTGAACTTGTAGTGGTAGTCAATATTCTAGTATCGTTTTAGATCAAACCTCCATCGCTTAACAAATTAATGTATACAATATTCCACTACATTTCTGGCATGCCAATTGCTTGAAGCAGGAAATCAGTCGCGAATAAACGAATAGTAACAAGCTGCGAATGTTTATGCAATTTCCACTTTTACAATATCGTGTGTACACACACATTCGCAGGCAAATAACGAATTTTATAATTAAATCCACTCACCATTCTGATCGTATATCGAAATCCGTAGAAAAAAATGCCTTCTTCCCCCAAGTCCAATTTTTAAACCGTATTATTTTCTTTTGTCGGGGTAACAAGATCCTAATTAATATAGATATTGTTTCGAATCTTGATTTCATTGAACTCAAATCAACAGAATCACAATCAGTTTTACACTCAACAGAATTCCGATTTTTTGAGCGATACACTTTAAAAAATGTTACAAATACATGAATTAATTCTCCAACTAACTGCTAATATGCCAGCGAGCGGAACCGCTGACTGCGATATTCTATCATGCTAACGGATAAAAAGTTCTTTATCCATATATCGACAACCGAGAAGATAAGCGATTTCCTGGCTTATCGGACAGATTTTTCGTAGTACGTACCTCGTCCAAATTGCTGACCAATATTCTTAGAAAATTTTCAATACTTTTTAGGTGCCCGTAAAGCTAACAATCACATTAGACCGTTGCGAAAGTGAATAAAACTGTCAGTTTATTTCTCAGTTTATTCCCCTGGAATAATTAATTTTACAGGTCTATAGGAAATCTGTGAATACACAATTTATTCGACATGTCCGTTGCAACAGTTGAACGCAGTGAAATGACGACAAGAATGATTTTTTAAATTCCTAAAAGTAGATACATTCGATGTGTTGAATCGTAGTCGCGAGAACCAGGGTTCGAAAATATATTTCCCGCGCAGTGGAGCGCTTGCGCGTTTTGCCGACAGATGGCGGGCGCGTTCGAGAAGCGGAGACTGCGTCTACGATAGTCATTCAGTCAGACGCTTAATATAGTGGGTGCTTGGTGTCTGTAACGTTCCGTCGCGTTGCGTAATCGTTTAAAAGAGCGAGCGAGACAGGATAGAAGGAAAAATCGTGGTCGGAAAAATTCTGTCGTCCGTGCCTCGCGGTGCCGTCGAACCAGGCACACTGCCTCTCGTGGATCAAGAGATATGCCGAAGAGTGGAGTCGAATATTGCTGACGTGACAAAGGATGCGAGTGGAGGTCCCGTTGGAGGATCGGTAACGAAGGGCCAAAGCCAGCAGGAGCAATCTGGGACGGAACAAACATCGATAAAGACGGCTGACAATCCGCCGGAGACCACCACAGCGGCTCCAATGTTGAGTCATTTGAAATACGAGCATTTCATCGCCGGTACGTCCGGCGGTGTAATCTCGTCGTTGATATTGCATCCGTTGGATTTGATCAAGACCAGATTTGCAGGTAAGTCGGCTATATCACCGCTAACGACATAACGGTCCGATGCAAATGGCGGGTAGGTAGGTATCTAGCCCTCGGCTACCTGCGATGCACGTGCGCTGTCTTTCCTACTTGCGCACAGGGTCGCGTCATGGTGTTCTCGGGCCCTAGGTATTTTTCCATAATACTGGATGAAATATTATTGCAAATGATACACGGTTTCTTTGATTTAATATCGTTGCGTGTAACTTCCAAAATGTGGTTTCTTCATTGTCGGAGTTAGTATGTGAAATTGTATTTTATTTGAAAAGTATTAAAAATAATGAGGCTTCAGATAGTTCTATTTCAGTTTAGTTGAATTGGTTTTATGTTTACTGAGAAGTCTACGAACAGCAAAAATTTTGGACGATGCACTTTGTTTTGTACTGGTGGACTTAGATAAACTAAAAACAAATGTTTTTCGTCGGATATGGTTAGTTATGCTGTAACATTTCTTTCGTTGAGATTATTTTATCTGAATGGTATAACGTTTAATGTTTTCGATGATATTTGTATCATTTATTCTTGAAATTTTATTTCCGGTCTGCAGTACCAATTGAATGTACCCCCTCCTTGACCTCCTCTCGTCTAGATACCCGCAGGAAGCGGATTATTGATATTTTAGAATACACGTTTCTTTTTCTTATTCGTTCGGCTAACGGACCTGACGTATTCACCCGGAAGATAGTTGGACTAATTTTGTACTATTGTGAAACAGGAAGTAAAACAGACGGTGAATGTTATATTTATGTATTTCATGTTACTTTATGAAATTTCCAGGAAAAATTGTAGACGGGTGGGGTACTAAAATGGCGATACGGAAGATTGATTTATGCCAAACCGGTCGTGTATTAGCCTTTGTCTGACCGTATTTCAGCTGAAAGACGGTGTTTTCATAGTTAAAACTATTTTATCTCGACCCCGGATACATATTATGAGCAAACATACGCTATCTGGCGCTATTTAAGAACAATATGGCTTCAATGAACTAACGTTTAGTTATCGCGTGAATGATTGAGGTACGGCTGGATGACGTTACGGGTCGATAATCGTCTTAAATTGTATAGTAAGGTCTGACCGAAAAAGCACGTGGCGGCTTCGAGAAGAATCGAGAAGTATTTTCTGCCGGCCGGATTACATCAGCCATTTTCAGTTCTTTCCTAATTAATTTAAATCGTGGTGGAACTTACCACATAATTGCTAGCTGATTAATGACAATAAAATTCGGACTTCAGATTTTTTATCTACTTACGCAAACATTGTTTGGAAAATTATTAAAGAATTCTGTTTGACCATGCGTACTCTGTGATAAAAGTGGCGCGAAATTTAAAAAGAAGTACGCTATCGCCATCTTCAAATATTAAAATTATTATTAAAATTAAATATCGCTCGAATTTTCTATGTGTACGAAATCTCTAAATGTTATTCACATAACAAATTGTTTAAACTTAACATAAAACATAAAAGATTGTTTTAACTGAATGATACAAAAATAATATAAGAAATTTCTAGAGGAGTTACTTCAATTGTTGCTTACTACGTATTGTTAGTTCCAATGTTAAATATTTATTACTTCGTTTTCCAAAATTTGTAATTCAAAGCTGAAAAATGTATTTTTTATTGTCAGAGTATCAGTTAAGTATCATCGGTTGATATGCAAACGATTGCGCAACCTCGATATCTTTCGAAAAGCGAGTCGGACGAGCGGAGGCTGCGGGATTTCGGATAAAATGGAAAGTTGCTTTCGACCATGTTTCGGAGTGGAAAGTATAAATTCCAGTTGGATCGGGCAACAGAGTAATGGAACGCTGAGACTTGTGACGTGCTGATGGATTATCGACACCAACAATGCTACCGTCGTCCATTGTTTTCTCTACTTTGTTTGAACTCGATGAATATGTAATCCAACTATCGCCGCATTACGTTTCGTTCAATTCATAGTAATGCATTTCCATTTGCCAATGACAATATAGCCGATTATATATTTCTTGGAACGTTACGTAGCCAGTGAACACCGGATTTATAACTGCGGTGTAATTAGAGGAACGATGCAAATTACTAAATATGCCAACAATTCGATGAAGAAGTTATTTTAATTTTCAAATTATTCAATTTATAATTATTTTACGATCGTGACGCATTCCTTAAGAAATATTTTCTTCCGTTGTGAGCAGTAAAGGTGACCTTGTTAATATTATTGTGATCGGATGGTATATCCGTCGAACACAGTTCACTGGTTAAAGACGTTCATCATCCGTTCCTGATCGAACGAGTCTGCGGAAAATTTCTTGTGAAATTGTCTCGTCGCGACAGATAAAGGTTTCGACTAGATAACAAGGCTGCGAAATGAAACTACATAATGCGAGCGGCGACGAGTTTATCGGCCGTAGCTTTTAATCGTTTTGTTATCATCACGAGGTCGATGACGATGTCGCAAAGAGGGTTCATTTGCGGACGTATTTTCGTCGTAAAATCCGTTGGCCGTACACCAAACGGCAAGAAATTCCGTGGATTGCGTCAGAAACACGTGAGAGATCAAACAACGTCGGAATTGCGAATCCGTTTCCTCGCCTCCTTCGGACTCTTCGGAGTTCCCAACCGGAACGTGTATATTAAAATCCTCGAATCTATAAGAATCGTGTCCCAGCACCGTTTCGTTTAAAAATACACTTTCATCTAGGGTTTGCGAAACTCTATTGACATTACTCTTCGGGTTTGACGTTACACGCGGTGAATTTATACCTTTTGTTGGCAGAATTAGATGAAAAACGCAATAAACGCTTGGGAAAATACGTATCGATCAATAAATTAATTAATTCGTGTGCACGATGCACCGGGAATCCCTTAGGTACCCTGAGAATGCACAATTATAAGTAGATTGCGCACGCTCGTCTATATCGAGCTTCTAAATATCTTCAAATTTCAACATTTGTTTAAAAGCTCGATTATAATAGTGTTCATTTACGTATACATGCCCAGTTTTATTGCAAATGCGAGGGAATTTTGGTACGAAGTTAACAATGAGCTATTTTGGCCGTTCTTAGTTGGTTCCAACAGTTAAAAATCATAATTTTTAAAATATCTGCTGGTGTATGAAATGATGCATCGCCTTTGCATAATTAAATATGCGTCATGTTTTAATAGGGATTCTCTGGAGGAAAGTATTTGCTACTATACACGGCGCAGAGATTAATTTATCGCATCTGCTAAACAGATCCCGTGAGTTCCGAGAATTGTTTCGCGTGCTCACAGACCCGATTTCTTTGTTATTCTGAACGAATAAACTTGTTTCGATTTAACCTCTGACTTTATAATGGCGTGATAGACAAGTGATCAAAATTTCGAATAAAAGTTAGCAAATGTAAATGTTATTATAGATTAATTTTAGTATCTCGAGCATACTTTTCATTCAAATTTTAATAAGTGCAAAATTAAAAATTTACATTCACCTTAAAAATCGTACATCGTTTGCTTGTGCACGTTCTTTAATACTTTTTACGATACTCCAGATAATTTTCGTTGCCTGACAGTCGTATTTGCCGGTTTATCTGACTAAGTCACCGAGAACGGTAACCAGCGATGCAGGTCAACGGTGACCACGTGATGGCCGGGATAATAAAACAATAAGAAATCGGGCCAATACTAGACAGTTTAAGGAAAACTAGAATTTTAACGGAATGATTATTCCTGGAGATAAGGCGTTAATATGATCTTAAGTAGGCGATCGAAGACATCAATACGAAATGATGATACTCTAGTTTTCAAATCTACGATTGACTCAATTCGAAAAAAGATTTGCTAGTATCCGCAGACACGTCTGAATTTTAGGGACATCTAAACTCGTACAAACGTAAAAGTATGTTTACTTTCTCACTCGTTGCAAACAATATTGTAGGAAAAAGTTCGTGGGAGGCGAAGCTACAAGCCTTGCGATTCATAATGAGCCCACGCGGAATGAGATACCACTTTTTATTCCAAAGTTACGGAAGCTCAAAGGTTAACAATTTTTCGATTTCCGTTTGTAGATCCTCTATTTCCTATCATTATTCGTTAATCCCTGGAGTAAACGCGGGCATAGAACGTACATAGCGGTTGTGGAAGGAATCATAGGGCAAGAGGTAAAATCGAAACGAGGAACCGGTTTAGCGCGAGGAGTCGTCGCGTGGCCGGCGGCAATAGCAACAGCCGTGGACGATCAACCGGTACTGTTGCGAACCAGAGACAGGGAAAAAGGAAATAATCAGATTCTGCTTATCGCGTGGGGCTTCTTCGTATTGGTAGCGCAACGAGATGCGAAGCGGTAGACAGCACGCACCGACAGACGATGCGCGTGACCGTTAGGAGATTAACCCTTTGCACTTGGAAATTTTTCCTTAGAAATATTTAACCTTTTCTGATGAGATATATATGACAGCCTTTAAAACTAATGAATAACCAATGAAAAAACATACATGGCCTGGGATTATACGAATCCCTATTAATTTTAATAATCGATTTTTGTAGATATTTTTTCAAACATTACTTCTAATAGATGCGTTGATCTTATCAAATCGAATACAGTTGGGTAATAATTTAAGTTAGGTGTGAAAAGACGAGAAGTTAAATGGAATCTTTGAAAATCTGTGTCAAGATAGATCTACGTACCGTCGTCGTGGAGTTGATTAATACAAGAATTTATTCTTATTTCATTTATCTTTGATTCGCAGTGAACGATGGCCGTTCGCAATCCACTCCGCAATACAGAGGACTGCTGAACGCGGGTCGACAAATCCTTAAGACTGAAGGTATGCGAGGACTTTACAAAGGTGTCACGCCGAACGTGTTAGGGTCTGGCGGCTCTTGGGGTTGCTACTTCTTAGTGTAAGGACCATTCCCATTCCTCTCGATCAAAATCATTCGTGCTTTTTAATCTTCTCATAGTATATTTGGTCGACGAAAAACGTTGATCTGTTACTTCATTATTTTTATCTAAATCGTTCGTTTGTGTGGAAGACATTTTAGTCACTGAACTTTCTGTGTAACTAGATGTTCATTGATGATAAGCCCAAGGAAAGACTGTTGCTTAGTCCCATAATGTTATCGGTTTATTATCCAGTAGGCAGCGGATCAATGTGCAATAGAAACATTTTCCAAAATGATGGAAAGGATATTTCTTCTTTTAAAAATCAGGATAAGTTGAAAATAATTAAATCCTTACGAACAATTGTTTATGTGCACCTTATATTCTATGCAGTCGTATTTGTTAGAAATGCATAAAATCCACTGTCTGTTGCTAAGAGACTGAAAATTTCAGCATGCAGGCTTTCGTGAACCCATAAAACTAAACACTGTGAGAAGGTTAACGCGGTGTTCGCTTCTCAGTAATGGATAAGGATAATTATCTTTGTTTAGTTACAACACCATTAAGGGTTGGATTCAGGGTGGAAATAGTAAGAAGCCTTTGGGACCTTCAGTGCACATGGCGTGCGCAGCACACGCCGGGGTTATTACCTTGCTTATGACCAACCCATTTTGGGTAGTAAAGACACGTTTGTGTTTGCAATACAAGGAAGATAAGAATCTACCGGAAAAGTTTCGGTACAAAGGCACAATAGACGCGATTAGGAAAATTTACAGAACTGACGGAATCCGTGGTTTGTACCGGGTAAGTGGATTACATATGCAATTCAGCGATAAGAGTATACAGGAACGGTATTAATGTGAGTTTTATTGGCGTTTTTATAGGGTTTAGTTCCGGGATTGTTCGGTGTTTCTCACGGTGCTATTCAATTTATGGTGTACGAGGAGTTGAAAAACAGGTACAACACGTACAGGGATGTTCCTATTGACACCAATTTGGTAAGTTCAATAATACCGTGGTTGAAAGGCTCGACACCTATCATAAAAGTAATCTAATTGTAAATCTACGAGTAACGATTTCTGTTGCAGGATACATGGGAGTATATGTTTTTCGCCGCAGTTTCGAAATTGGTAGCTGCAGGTGGTACTTATCCCTATCAAGTAGTTCGGGCACGTCTTCAAGATCATCATCATAACTACAGTGGCACTACTGAATGCGTGAGAATGATCTGGAGGTTAGAAGGCATTAAGGGTTTTTATAAAGGCGCAACGCCATATTTTTGTCATGTTATACCAAATATTTGTTGCATTATTATCGTTTATGAAAGATTCATTGGCTCCTTTAGATAATATTAATCTAATTTTCTTAAATGTAAAAGAAGAAGGGGAAACCATATTAGTCTCATTGAAATATTTTATAATTTACCTGGATCGAGTTATGCTTCGATACTGGATTTGCCGAGCTCAGAGCCGTCGGCTAATTTAAAGAAAGTAATCAGCAAATCATTTTGATTTAAGTGTAACTTGTATTTCGAATTTCTGATGTCCTTTGTTAGTCGAAGGCACACTCGAAACAGTATTATTAGAAAAAAAATGTTGCTCTCGTACACACGTCTCCGTACAAATATCGAAAGAGTACTTGTGTTGCATCGAAGTATATACTTCTGCTGTACTGTTCCTTATTTCAAATTGGCATAAGTCAATTGAAGTGCTATGGTTGTTACTTAACACTAATATCTCTCTTCGCAAATATGTACAATGTGATACTCGATGGTTTTAAACATTACGGCTACTCAGTTAATTTAGACAATATTTCTGGAGATTCGTTTGCAAAGATGACTTATGGAACATGTGAATCTGTATTGCTGAGCATATTTTGATTGTACTCAGTAATAATATTTCATGGAAGTTATCGAATTACAAGTGTCTCGAGACTCTAGAGATAGATAAATAATTTTAATACTTCTGTGTACGGTTATTTTCGAAAGATATAGACACCGCAATACATTTTTTTTCTAGGGAAAATTTCAGACAGTCTCTAATAATAACATATATTTATATAATAACTTTACGTTCTCGTTATTCGTATTAGACGACTGTTTCATATTAACGATTGAATACTTTGTAACTATGATAAAAAATATACATGTACTGAAGGAATGCTATTTCAAATTTTCTCGCATTATACAATGTGATTTTTGAAATAGTAATAATTTATATCGATCGTTTAAGCATTATGTTTTATTTATTCAACAATTTGTGTGTGCAGAATAATTTCACTTGCTCTTGTAAAGCGCAAACAGAGAACTTATGTATCTTAAATTATGTTAAATTATTTTTCCTATTACGATTACTTATGATTATTCAATCTTGCGGCATTCATTGATCTAACATGTATCATAATTATTTACTTTCACGATAACACAATCAATAGCTCTGATTAAGGTAAATTACTTATTATTTTCCATTAACATCAAACAATTTTATTTTCAAATTCTCGTTCAATTGTGAACGCGTAACTAGCAGAAAGGTGCAATTTAATCTGAGATGGAAATGCGGACCGATAAAACGCGCAATAGTTAAATTTACAGTAAACGTTAACACTACTACACAAAAGACGAATGACGCGTATACTTATGAGTATGTAAGCAAGGATAACATGAATATTTTGGCGTCCTCGTGATCAGTGAGTCACGATATCGAGCCTCAATCTCGCATTGGGCACAGTGGATACGAATTTTGTTTAGAAATATAATGATCGTCCACAAGCGCATTGTTAACCGTGCTATCATTATGTTTCTTGTATACAATGACCTCATACCTCATTTTGAAGCACCTGCGTTAGATGGACGTTGCAAGTTTCGTTGTAGAGTCTGGTACTCGGACCAACAGGAGTGTAGCAATAAAATTCAATGTCATTGTAAATTGGATTAAGTAGACTCAATTTATTTATACGGAGATTTTCCGATTGAATAATTCACGGACAATTCCAATAAACACAGCAACGCTCTGATAACTGTTTCACGATTTGATTTAGTTACTGGTGCATTCGGTCTCTGCCTTTTCTTTTCTCACTGCACCGACGTTCCCCGAGAGGATTACGTTTCGCTGTACCCAAAGCAATACCTATAGAAGTAGACAAAAAAAAACATTTACACGAGCGAGCACTGAATGCACTAGTCACGATTCTTCGCATATTTTCCTTTGAATTTTGATGGCGACTCTCGACACAGTTTCGCGCCACTTACGTTCTATTTCTCGAACGCTTTAACAAGTAAATTAATTACTGTGGCGGGTCCACAGACGCTAGCGTGTCGGAATGTGTAAGTGGAGATGAGACGCTTTCATGTGTAAGTGTATGATTGCATATCATTTCGGTGGAACAGATGTAGTGACGCTTGTAGAAACAATTGTAAAAGCCTACAATTTTAGAGCAGCGCATCCAATTCAAGTACTAGCTCGCACGGCGGGGATACGTTTGGCTGCGTACCCATCCGCTTAGCTTTACCGTAGGTTCGTGTTACGTAGCATAAATTGTTCACATCTAGAAAAGTCTTCACCTGGGACTCGAGAAAGTCGCTAGATTCGTTCCACCGGGAGCAAACAAGTGGATGTGACCGCGACGAGATGAATCATTTGTGGAACTACCAGCAGTACGATTTTTGGACGTTATCACGTACGATTACGCATTGTATTTGTACCCATGAAATATCGCATGGATGCAAACCACTTGGATGAGAAATAAACTATGCAGAATTGAAGACTCTGTGAATTTTAAACTCCTTCATCCAGTTCTTTCTTTCGACGATCTCCTATCGACACGTTAAAAGTCATTCTAAGCATGAAATAGATCTCCATTCACCGAGAAGTAATCATTTATGTTTGCGCAATTGTGATGTACGGTTGCTTTCGTTTAACACCGAGTTTGATCATCTCTAAGACGACAAGAATCGTACGCCGGTTCAGATTTGATGGCAATGAGAATATCTACACACTCTACACGCGAGAAAGATAAGACGAAATAACGAAAGTGTATTATTGATGGTTAATTTCAGATTTGAAGGTTGGCGTGGCTTTTACAAGGGTCTGAGTGCGAACCTAACCAGGGTGACTCCAGCAACCGTGATCACGTTTATTACTTATGAAAATGTGCATCGGTATCTACAGGAACTGAGAAAAACGCACACTATCGAAGAAGATAGAAGGCACCAGCCGCTTTTGATTAAACAAACTTGACATTCAAAGTATGCGCGTGAAACGTTATCAAGGAAATCCGATGTTGCGTTTAATGTATAGATATTAGTACTTTTTTCTGTGGATCAATTTCGGGGACTCGACTTTCACTTTAAAACGTAATCGTGACGGCTGCGATTTACCAAATGAATACATACGCCACCATTGAATGAAAATGTTAATTAAATCGCAATAGTATAGTATAGTTTCAATTAGTTGAATCGATGGTTAGAAAACTTTATTGCAACCGTTGCGTCTATCCAGTCTTCTGTAGTGCTATGCACCGCACTAATCCTGCGGTGTCAGTTTTAAATTAAGTGTCAATAGAACGATCGAATTCTTTAGAAGTATTTTATAATTTCACTAATACCAAACTTATCGGAAACCTAATATTGAACGCTGATCATTCCATTTTCGAGTTGCACGCATTAGAAAATCAACTCAGTATTGCACTATTTATTCATTGAATCATTTCATTACTACGATGTAATATTAATGAATACGACGATAGAGAGGCTAACGTAATAAATGTGAAAGGGGAGCAATAAAAAGCGGAGATGCATTTTATGTTGAATGTCTTTTTACTGTTTTACTCACATTACTACTCATACAATAGTCGTGTATGTCTTCATGGTTGGGGAACGCATGAATTATATTCAGTATTCTGTAGTTTGTAACACTAAAATTACCGGTGGCCAACACGCGTATGTTCCTATGAGACCGGTGATCTCCGGTAACGTATAGGCTTGTAAGTTGTATAAAAAAATGGTAAACCACTTGCTGTCATTGTTATGTGGTTCTAGTATTAGCATCGTAACTTGTTCATCTATTCTCGTTGAGATCGTAGCGAGTGATCAATGCCAGAGGACTTCGGGGACATTTTGTATGATAATTATCGCAGTTTTTCGTGAATTCTGCTTCGATGACCTCACTTGGAAGATCTTCATCCTGCGAAGAGGATGGCCTGCTATCAAGAATCATACGATGGTCGTACGGTATATGAATTGTTAGTCGATTCATGTCAATCATGTACGTGTACTAACGTAAATAAAATTTGCAGAATATCGCCAATCACGCCGTTGCTGGTCAGAGGTTCGTGCGCTGTTTCGCAGATCATTTTTAGCAGGCAACCTTCCCCAGAATATCCAACACTGTCCCAAGTATTTCCAAGTATTATATCGTTCAATCTTTCTTTCCTCGACCAGCATCTTTCATCAAGTAACAATTTCACTTACCTTTCTAATTTGTTCACGAGAACGTGGTACGCCAGTCGCCGATCTACGCTGCGTTTCTTGAGATACGGCTCGTCCAAATAATAACTGGAGTTCCATTCTCCGGGTAGAGCGTAATTCGCCTCGAAGTACATAGAAAATAGCACCGATTTGTTTGGAATATCGACGGGCAGTCCGAGAGCGAAGAATATCTGAAAACGTGAGAATAAGTCATGGCCGAAATGATCACGATTCCCTTCGATACCGATGAAACGGTTCCCGTGCAACGCTCTTCAAAAGAAATCGCGCGGAGTTACGAGAACATTTTTAACGAAGCTATTTTCCGACTGCTGGAATTGCGAACTGGGACGCTAATATTGAGTTAATGGTTGCAGCTAGCCGTTCATCGATGAAAAATTAATGATTTATTTGGTGGTTTACCCCCATGCCGCTGCCCTCGGGGAATCCAATCGATCTCAGGTGTCTCGCCACACCGCGCGTGATGTTTTTTACCCCTGACACGCTCGATAGCCACGTAAAATAACACACTATCGCCTGGCTGAACATCTGAAATGAATACAGAATGAATCGTCGCGATAGAATTTCCATCTTTCCTTCATTTAACCCGTCAAGCTTATTAACTTCGCTCTTCTTCCGCGAATTTATGCGGTTTTATTTAATTATGCAATCGCTGTGCTCTTCTTCTTGCAAAATTGCCGGTCGATCGACCGATGAGCAGAATATTCCAGCGATGAAGCTTTCATTGCCAGCCGCAAAATAATAGAGCACCAGATTTTCTTTCGACTCCATCTACTAGCAAAGTTCCCTTGTAATTTTCATACCCCTTTTATAAACTACCGCTCGGCCGACAGTTTTTATCAGAGAAATATTCGAAAATTAAAAGTTTTACGCGCCCTGTTAACCTTTCCGATTCGCACGAGCTCCGTCGGAGATTTTACGATTGGTGTATCAGTATTTCTTACTTTACGAGCTCGTGTGCTCGGTTTGCCATAAGAACGCCGTAAAATTGCTTTACGTCTGGACAGGCGGAAGATTGATTTTTCTAATTCCTATTGTTTCGCCGGTTCATTACGAACGGTAGCGGTATTTTATGCATTTGCATTGTTCAACGATTACCTAATATTCAAACCATTCACGCAAACGTGGTGCACCTTTAATGAGCTTATTTACCAAAGAAGCGTTAACGAGCTCTCGGTTTCTATAAACGTCCATGATCTATTAATCACCGTTAAGTCGGTGTATTATTTTACGTTCACTTAAGCGAGATTTATTAGAGCAACTGCCAAGAGCCGAACTATATATTATACGATGTAAAAAATATGTTTACCGAAACGTAGCGCACCATCTTACGCAATCGACGGAACGATTGGCTTCATATTCTTAAACGCCCGCGCGTGCAACATTCGAGGAGTGTTTCAACGATTTATAAACTGCCCGCGACGCAAAAATGAAAACCGTGGAATTTCGCGGTGCGTTAACAGTTTGCACGCGTTAACGAGCCATAATGATCGACCCACCGTTCGCGCCTAAACGCGCAGTACACAAGAACTCGGTCCTTCATCTAGCGCATCTACTGTACAACGCGACTTCAGTCTCCACGCGGAACCGATTTCGCTAAATTGACAATCTCCTTCCCTCGCCGCAGCAGGACCTACTTAGCACGAGGGGTGCGTTCATCAGCCGCGGGTCATTTAAAACAGTTCAAACGTGCGGCCATGTACAGCTCAATATGCATTAGGCTGGAATTGCATTAATCATCGAATCGCAATGCGGCTGTTTCCACGTTGTTTAGCGCATTCCGGATTCAATGGCGAAACTTGTAATTATTCTCGGGCACTTTGCGAGCTCGTCTCGCCGCTAACCCCCGCCGGTCGAATAATAGCGTGAAACCCTCTGTTTCGCCGGTAGCCGCGGGGCTTAGATATCTAGGACGAAGTTGCTCGCGGAGAGCCGCACACACTGCTGGAAATACATCATTGATTAGCGCCGGGATGAATTTACCGTCTGCGGAACTCTCTCCGCGACCTAGCCACCTTCGACTCACCTGCACACGGATTAATACGTTCACTGTCATAGTAGTTATGGCCGGAGCATCCGAATTGCTTGGAAACAGCTACGAAAATCGATGTCGAATAAAAATATTTGGTAACTTGGGTAGCTGGATAACAGTGTAACGTAAGAACCATGGTACCGAATCGTTAATAATTATTTCCAATACCATTTATCTTTGCTACAAAGGCGTACGCGATATATAAAACACTATTCTCGTGGCAGTTAACGTGTTAAACTCCCGTTCCGCGGTCGTTGTAGACTACATTAGCGCGATAATTAGCGCGACAATTAGCGAAGATTCATCAGTCGATCGATGCGAGACGTTTCGCTACTATCCTCGGATCCCGGGGCCGGATTTGATCGAACGGACTGAATGAATCTTTTTTTTTCTGTTTTTTAGCTCGTTGCTTGAGCAGCGTGGTTATGGGCGTTAACGGAAGAGTCGACGGCACGGGACGCGGGGGTGGAGTAAGGGTGACACACACCGGAGACACGGAGAAAGAATACACGCTGGAATCCCGCAGGGGAGAAACGAGAATCCGCAGAATTTCGTTTCAGGATGTTGGAACGCGGAACGATTGCAGGCTTTCCGCTGTGCACGGGTTGCAGTTTCCAGGATTGTTCGACCAACGGTTCGCAGATGGCGGCTGATGGTTGGTATCTAGGACCTTCAGCCCCGCCCATCCAATTTGAACGGGGACCTTTTCGTCGGCGTCGCCGACCGTCCCGGTCAAAATTCTCGAAGATTAACCACCCCACGACTACGTTAAATCCCGTATCGTGTGCGGCTGGGGGTCAGGGGGCGGGGGACGGGCGTTTCGATTAAAGTTTTCCAGCGTAACGCCGCACAGTATTATTCCACCCCTCTCGAACGGAGCAACGATCCTTCTTCTGCCCGATTGTTTCCATGCGGTGAGTAGATAAATTGAATGGCTGCTCGAGCGTATTTGAGTTCTTCTGGCATTGCTTTCTGGTTGCGAAAGTAGTTTCTTTGGTGGTGGTGTATGCAGGGTATTGCAGTAATCGAGGCGTAATTGGAAATGGGATGTTCCTTAACGAATAAATACAAAGCTTCTTTTTCAGAGGAATTTTAGTACGGTAAATGAAATGATACGTTCACCATCGTCCTATTCAGTTGTTCTCAACGACTGTTTATCCTCGATCGAAAATGAAGGTGTACACGAAGTAAATTCGTAGTAGCCGTTAGTTTTCTCCACGCAAATCGACCGTTTCCTGGCTGTCGAGATGCTTCGTACAGATGCGGCGAGCTGCAAGAAATTATGAGCGCAAGTAACACGCGGTCGTTATTACTAATTACCACGATCAAGCGTTGCTTATACGCGCTTTCTATCGTTTACGTCGTCGTTGAAAGCGTTTCCGGCGTTTTCGATTAAATAAAGGGATGAGTTTCGGTTGAGTGGCAAACAACGGAATTACGTGGTACTCGTAAGGCGTACCAGCGTACACACGGAACGCATATCCCTGTGAGGATGTCGCGGGTTAAGATCCGCGGAAACGGATACGATCCTTTTGTCTGCCGTCGCGATCCCACGGCTGGAAGACAACGGACAAGGCGAACGGTTGTAACGCGGATACAGCGAACGGTAACTTAACAATTAAATTATGTCCCGGGAATTACGGGGAATGCCTTCGACAAATGGACACGACAAATTCGGTTAGGAACTTGGCACGAAGCGGTTGTCCGCAATGAACGTAGTTGACAGAGAGTTCGGAGGCGAATTCTTATTCCGTTTTCATCTCGATGTTCGCTATTTTCATTATCTAGATACGACGACATGAAATTTTCCTTTCCTTGGAGAATTTATAGTTTCTTGTTCGCTCTAGGCTCAAAGCAGAAGTCTTCCTCTGTTCCTAGGATTCGTCAACATATGCAATAGTAAATCTCCATCAGTATATGGTTTTCGTATTGGAACGACTCTCCCGATTCAGGCGAGGTTTCCCCGATAAGAACCGAAATTCCATCTTAAACATCTCGCGACTACGTAACAGAACATCGAACAGTGTGTTTTTTCTTAGGCGCGTCGAAACGCGTTCCGCCGTCTCTAGCCCCCCTTCGTTTTGTGAGTGATTAAACTACCGGCGTCCATGCTTCTCCGTTTTTACCCTGCTTATCGTCCAAATGAGACGAAATGGAATTGTTCGGGCCTAATATGACGAGAACGAGAATCTCGCGAGAAAGTGGCAATTAAAAAGCGCACGTGAAAGAGCGGCGAATATGAAGACCGCGCGAACGATTCAGAGGAAAGGGTAGCGTTTCATCATATCGCTAATTTGGTATTATGACAGTCGCAAAGAGTCAAGGATCGAAACTGTAGTCGTTCGAAATAAGTTAACCATTTTCAATAGATATAGTTCAATAGAACATTCGAAAGTTTTTCAATAGAGACATTCAATATTTTCCGATTAGACAAGATAATATTCTTTGGAACTAAGTAATGAGAAACCGTATTTCAATTAAGAAACAAAGTTATTTTATTCCAATATTTCGCCCATTGTATTACACAAAGCTTAATATTCAATATATATAACTTTGTAATTTTGCTGTATCAAATTAATTGCCGACCGAGGGTCGTCTCTCGATTGCAAAGGGTTAACTCACCTCTTTTTTTTCTCGGAATTGAAAGGATCAGCGGCACAAAATTCGCCTTTGAAACGAATTTCCCGGGTAAACCGGCGGAGAAGAGAAGTCGGTTATCCGATAAACAATTTACTCGGCCGTTCCTGGCTTCCCTCGTTGTTTTCTGCAAACAATCCCAGCAGACGAGGCGCGGCGGCCGAACGTGCGCCCGGTATCCATCGCTTCGGTCGCTTAAGGGTTTAATAATCTGTCTCGGCCGAGGACAAAAGGGTTGGCACGTTATCATCCAAGCCGGTTTGATTATTCATTCACGGTTCGAGCGACGGCAAAGCCGTCGAATCCGTTTTTAACTCGCCTTGAATTCGTCTTTTCGTACACGCTCGCTCGGCCGTTGCGACGAGCCGCCCCGCCGCGCCGTATCGATTCGGTCACCGCCGTTGCCGCAGTACTTTCCGGACAAATTGCTTCTTTTCTATTAACTTAATTCTGCGGGACGCGTATCGCCTCCGCGAGTCGGACCGTCCACGGATTTTCGCGGGTGGCCCAGCCTCGCTGTAGATGATACCTGAGGACATGCACAAAGACCGAGCTAGCTCGAAGCTTCGCCGAACCCTTTGTTTCGGATCCGAGTTTCAGCCGATTAGTCGTAAATACTTTCGCGCGAATCCTTTTAAATCCTGGCAAAGTATCGATTATCGACGCCACTTTGCGGAGCAGTCAGAAGCGATTGAACTTCCTCTATCCCGGCGGCCATTGTTCCCCGCGCGAGCTGATAATCAAACAGCCGCTGCGCTCCACTAATGTTAGCCCTTGGCCCGAATCGGGACATCTATTTGTTCCTCATCGGTTCAATTACAGTCACCCCCGGGGAGATTCGACAATTTTTATATCGATCGTTCGAACGTCTTTCAGCTTAGAGAGATCGGTTCCCGTGGGATTACGATTGTTTTTATTGCTGCAGTCGGAACTCTAGGGATTATCTTATTAACCCGTTGCACTTGATGGTGTCTCTTACACGCCACTTGATTTGTCATGGCAAAATTATTAAGTTTTACATTTAATATTAAGCTTCGTATATAGCATCGATATGTGAAATATTGAAAGAAAATAGCTCTGCTCTTTAATCGACGTATCGTGTTAAGTTCATTAGAAAGAATGTCGTACACATCTCATTAGAAGATGTTAAATATTCCTAGCGAAATAATTGTTGAGCGCAGCAGATTAATGACTCTACGAAGAAGGAAAGGTTAAATATTCGTTCGCGCATAAAGTTTCCCAGGCATCTATCTATGCTCACTCTGACTTATCATATCCTTTTCAACTTTCGCTTCAACCGAAAATACTACAGAACTTTGGTTTGCGAGCATTAATACCGTATTTGATCTCATTATCATCGGGAGAAGCTCGCTAAAGGACCAGGATTTACTTATAGAATATCGAACATGCGCTGGACGACAGGTGCGCACCGCTACCAAAACGGAAACATTTTGGTCAACGACCAGACCCACCAGCTCGATACCCTGATTAAACGAAATTTCGGAACGGCGCCGCTGAAACACTGGGAACAAGCTGGCCTGGTGTTGTAACCGGTTCTGTTTGCATTCTGTCGGTACGCGCAACGCGATCGTTACCCGCGTTTCAATGTCCCGAGCGGTTCCTCCGTTCCGGTATGACGGTCACGTTGTCTGTCGCTCGTAACCGGGCTGATCCGAATATTAGCGAGCGCAACTGGCAATACACGCGCGTCAGTGAATCTGTGTAATGATCGTTAACATTTTTACGAACGATTAATAATTTCCCCTAATTGTCAGGATTGTTCGCTATTGCGTGCCGAACAACCAACTTTACGCGACTCTCGACCTGGCTCGTCGGAAGCTTCAATCGTCCGAGCCTCTTTCAACAGGAAACCACTTGCGCTTTAATCGAATTTATTTACAAAATGTATAGCAACGAGAGATGTTGTTCGAAATTTTACGAACTGATACGTCGAACGGATGATTGCTCCGAGGATAGACCTCCTGCAGAGGATGGGTGCGGATTGGTTAATTTACAAGCAGTTGCGTGTTGGTAGGGTGAAAAAAGTTCGTTGAAAAAATGAACAGTTCCAATCCTCACCGAATCATCATTTCATAACAGAAGCAGCAAATTGATAAAACGCACAGGGGTTTCGAAAACTCGCGACTTTGGAGAGTATTTTAATATCAAAATTACAAACCGCATGGACCACAGCTGCGAAGGACACCCGTTGACCAGTCAAACGTTCCAAAATTTACCTGGACTCGATAGCTTCCGAGCTTATTATTTGCGATGCGATATCCCTGTACCATCGACGCGCGTGCAGATACTCGCGGTGGATCGAGCAGCGGTGTAACTCGTGTCATGGAGTGCAGAGACATCGTCGCAGGATGCCCGGAGTTTGACTCGAGTGTGTACAAACTGTAAGTGGTATCGCGACGAAGACTGTCGATGGGTAGATGACCACCACGCGCGGCTAAGCCCAATGCAGTGACCACTTTCATGTGGGCTGAACTTTCCATTTCGAACTTTCGTCGAAGCAAACAGTTATGCCCGCAACTTTTTTAACGGTGCCTCGTTCGAGTCAGTATCCTATGAAAAACCGCTGGAAAGTTTCCCCATCAGTGGCGAGAAAAACGAACGGAACTATTCTTTATATTAAAACAGCTTGCCAACCGAGTTCCATAATTTCACGAGCGAGGGGTGGGGCGGTTATTTTTCGTTGTAACCGCGTTTCTCGTCGCACTCGGCCGTCCCGCCGTACTCCATTTAGCTAAACGTTCCGCGGCCCGGCCGACGTCGATCATTAGATTTTTGCGCGCTTCCAGCGGCTGCACGGTTTTTCGGGGAATTACGCGCAACAAGGAGAACCTTTCATGGTCCTCGTCTGTGCCGACCATCCACAAACTAAACAGTCACAGGGGCGAGGGGAGTTTTCCATTTGGGATACTCGTGTCAACAGCTATTCGACAACAGCTCAGTTTTCGAGCCACGTAACGAAGAAAACAAGCGAAACAGAATATGACAGAATGAAACGTAATGAACATTGATATCGAATTTCGTTCCGGCGGTTTCTAACGTTCACGTAATCCTGATACAGAGGTTCAAGTACTATGTCTCCTGAAAGGATGCAGTTCGAGTTCTACCGTTGCGACTTTTTCAGCTTGAGGGTAATCTCCACATACGCGGCGCGAGGGCTACACTTACTCGCGGAGTTTCATCAACGAAACGTTTCGCTGTCACGGAGAACAGCTCACCACGGATTCGCAATATGATCCGTTGATCTAGCCCAGTTCTTCTTAGCCAGGAGAGTTAGCCTCTCGGGAGCTTGTCGTCGCGTAAGTTGATTCCGGACATCGATCAAGCGCCGGTGTCGCTTCCCCAGGGCAACGTTTCAAAGCGAGTTGAATGAGAACTTGTAACCACGATTTATCATTCGGGAGAATCGCCAATTACCGGGGAGAGCCGGGGTGAGGACACTTCTCGAAGGGATCGCGGGTCAGATCGATACGAACATATCGGATCGGACGCGGCTAAATATGTGGGTCGCGCGAACGATAGATTTGCCGGATCCTGTGTGGCTCGGCAGCGACGAGTAATCCCATAATTCCGAGAATACGCATTGAAGAGCGTCTCCTGCACAGAAACTGGCCCAGCTGATACACCGGTACCGCTGAAAAGCGCGGCCGGAAAGGTGAGGGGGCAGAGAAGTAGCTCTTGCTTCTTTCACCCGAGGGAATTGTGGTTAACCGTACGGAATCGGTAGTGTCGTGGAAAAGAGGGTTGTTATAAGCGGCCTACACCACGCCCGGCTTGGCCCGCGAACTGGGGCGGTGTCGCCGTCGTGGAATCGATATTTCTTCGCTCTTACTGAATTTTATTCGCCTGGGGAGAAGGATAACGCCTAAACGCGAGCCTCTACTCGTTTGCCGCTTTTCAATAATCGCGTCATCGTTCTGGACAGGCTAGAGCGCTCGTTTATTAGAGTCGATCGTTTCGCGATCTTCGGCTCGCCGTATGCTCCGTCTCGCGTGACGGGATGGGTAATGTCAGTCGACGGAGAAAATTAATCGATCTTAGTCACCCTGAATGTCTTCCATTGTAGATTTTAATTTCAACTACTCCAGAAGCGCGAGTTCTCCAGACAAAAGATATGTGTAACTTTAAATCGCGATGAGCAGGGATAATAAGAAGACAGATGAGATTTGGTGTAACATTGATTTCTCTGTTCGGACTCGATCGTTTACATTTATATAGGAAGTATATACATTGGTACGCTATGGAATTCGCTGAGATCCGATCTTGACAGGATATCAAGCCTGACATCAGGCTTAACGTCACATTTGCGACGTCTTATTCCACTCAACGAATTGTTCGCAGTTTCGCGAGCTGTTTCGTAAATGGCCGAGGACCGAGCCACCCCCGCTGTCGAATTTATTACATACTGATGCTGGTATAACATGTTCGACTCGTCCTGCTTCGCTAGCCGCTTATAGACGCTTGCTCCACTGCGGTCAGGCGCGATGTGCCCGATCACGTATGACGCTACTACAACGCCCGTGTTACACTCGACGTCCTTATTCTAGATCGTTGACCAGCCATGAGTGCCATGCAACTTACCGACAACGCCGATGCGACGCATAAATTCCGCCCGGCTACGATGTGACGCCATTTCCTCGATTCCGTGCGTTCCGCTTTAACCTGCTCGCAGGACAAGACGAGTCGACCTATTCTCTATCTTACCCGATTTTACTCGCCATTCATTTTTTCTTCCTCTCGTCCATTTACCAGGATCCCTGTACTTGATTCTGTTACAGTGGACTACGTCATATTTGTGTTTACTGCGGAACAAGCCTCCGCAAATCGTCGTCATTAACAGCCACACGTGTACATTCATTTACTTCAGTACGTTTATTCCGTATAAATCTGGCGTTAGTGCCCTGTGATTACGCACGTGACTATTATCGATTTCGTGAAAATTTTCTATACTAGTGAGCAGAATTAAAGAAATTGATATGAATTGTGATATGAATTTATAAGAAATAATTTGTTTCGAAGTATTGAACATAATGACTTCAAAATACGTCCTCACGTGACGCTCGTCGCCAGATTTGCGGCGCGCCACGGTAAACAAACCGCTCTAGAATAAAAGGGCGGGCGTAGGCGGATATTAGAATATTAGAATGTTATATTAGAATGTCGATATTTACATAAAGATTCATGGTAAAAGGGTAATGAACCATTAAAGATAGAGCGTATACTTACTTGAAAACTTTGATGCTGAAGAAAAATTCGTACTTTTCCAAAATATATGTAAAGTGTTCCGAGAAATTTGAAAAGTAACAAGCCAAGTCGAAAAATACCTAACTACAGCTCAATACTCTTCGAGTGTTTTAAACATAAAAAAGTTGTAGGACATTCTTCCTCACATATTCAGCTATCTCAAACAGGAAAAGTTTTTCGGTTTAGGTAAAATTTTCAAAACGGACTTTTGACTGGCCTGATCGGACGAATACCCTACTATGCGTGGAGTATCTTATTTCAGCAATGGTATTTTACGAATTACACGATATTAAGAAATTTATTTGTGTTATTCGTAATGAATTTCACTAATGGTGTTGATGTCTGTTTAAACGAGAATAAGGCGAAATCGTCTTTCATCGTGTTCGAAAACTCGAACATTCGTCGAGAGATCACCTAGTGATGGCCAGGATGGGGACACGCTGGCAAGGTATTCTCTTATCCAGGATTGCGACCGGAGGGGTAGAAGGAAACATTGTTGGCGGAAGCTGAGGGCCGTATCGGACGAACCGTTTTTCGCGATGAAACGACGACGTCGTTTTTTAATCGACAAGGCCTGGCCACCCTCTCTCGCTTCGCGAAAATAATGGAGTTGCGAACGTCATGTGGAAACGGAAGCTGGACGGTAGTACGTAGACGTATCGGATTCCCTCTCCTCGGTCTGTGTATCCAGCGTGTATCATCCGTCACGCGGCAGAAGTATCATTCGTCCTCGAGGGACCCTCGGCGCGGTGACGTCACCGAATAAATCCAAAATCAATTTCTACGGCAACGAGCTCGAACCGTTCGTTCGTTCGTCTCGCTGTCCGTTGAAATAGTCTCGATGCGCTCGCGACCTGGCCAACACCTAGCTGTCTGAGGGGCATACAACGATTTTTCATCCCTTATCGTCGACAGTGACGCCCCGTGACGACGCGGTAACGGATATCGAGGACGTTGACGCGTTAGAGACTCTATACAGGCGGATTAAAAACGAGCAATCTGCGATTATTCAACAAATTTGACTCGAGTCGCATTGCGTTGTTCTGTAAGATTCTTTCGTAGTCTGTCCAGCAATGTTTAGTCTAGCAGAAATGTTGGGAAGACTGTGTTTTGAGGTTCCAGGAAGATGGAGGAAGTCAATAGATGATGTATATATGTATATATGTATTCAATAACAGGACAGAAGGCATGAAACATTCTGCACCAATCGTGTATTAACGAGCGAAAGAAACTTTTGGAACAGTTTAATACATTCACGTTGATCCGTTGCTAATAACAACCATTCTCGCCACCCTTCCTCGCTTTCTACCTAAGCTAGATATACTATCATATATCTATTCACAGGCTTGTAGATTGGAACAGCACCTGTCACGGGTAAAATAGATTTACCCGTGAACGTCTACAGCTGCCCGGGCAAAACAGTTTTCCTGATTTAAGGTGACGTCCGCCGCGATACACTCCTCGATCTATTTACGCGGACATACTGCCGTTCAGCGTGACGATATTTATTTATTTACATACGTATGTATTCCGTTATTCACAGGAACGCTGAATTTTGAAAGTGCGCGACCGACGGGACCAGCATTCGTACCGCTGATAGTTTCACGGAAAAAAAACTGTCGCCAGCTCCTATCTCCGGTAGCTTTTATCCAGTTCCCCGGGTCCGTTTATTTCATGTTCTGCCATCTCCGATAAGCAAGCTCATCCAATTACCGAAAACGAAGCAGTGTGCGGCCGTATTCGCGTTCTCGAGAGCGGCAGGGGTTGAATAACACTTTCGGGTTGCAACAACGCGATACGTTTTTGTTCTCGTGCGATCCTCGCCCCGAGAATTGCATAGTTCGTTCGGTACTCTCGAAATCTTCATTTTCGCGAGCCGAGAAACGCTTCGTTCGTCGAGGTCTCATTCGACGAGTCGAAATCAACCGTCGAAACGTTCCTCGATAGTCGATCGACTAGATTTCTTGATATATACGTCCCCTCGAGTCATCTTCCAAGCATGATGCGTTTGCTACAACCAAGCAGATTCTCGTTTGGCCTGCACTCTGGACGAATTCGTTCGCGAAAGAATTAGTTGCTATAAGTACATCTATTCTATCTCTATACCCTGCTGTCTGTGTCGGTCATTGCTAGAGCTGTTCATAGTGACAGGATCGGTTAACTGAAACTTGGACAGCTCCCGGAGTACAAGTAATAGGGAATCTGCTGATCGAGAGTCAATCGTTGTAGAGGCATTCAATATTACTTCGGTATTTGTTTGTAGAATCGAGCGACATATTCTGTGAGCAAAACGTTCCTTTAGAAAATCAAGGAACATCGTTCAACATTCACGCCTGGACTTGAACTAAGTCAGAGCGAAGAGCGGACAAGCTTTCGCGCCATCAGATGCGTCGTCCAAGATGACTTTACTTCATGTTGTATCTCGTCCACTCCCCGGAAGAGCGCACCATGTCGTTGACTGTGGCGTATCCGGACGGAAATCGTAGATCCCGTGTCCGTGCCGCGTCGTATTTCCCGAGGGCCATGTCGATGAGGGAGAAACTGCATCCGGCGAACATGCTGGCGCAATCTTGGCCCTCGTGGCCCGCTTTATGAGCCGAGCCGTACGTACGGTGCTCCTCCGGCTCGGATGAGAACAGCCGCTTCAAAGGGAACCTGTTAGGACCAATGGGAATGGGCACCGAAACGTTTCGTGTGTCGCCGATTCACTGTCGACGATGCTCGCAGTTAGTCGCGGCGAAGGGCTTCCAAGAACAACCAACATTCCACTGTTCCCCGACAATTATCGTTGGTCTGCTCCGCCGATCGAGATACGAACGGATAGCAGAGTCTATTATCTTTTTACCCTTGCCTGCTTAACCTACTCGAGACTAGGGTTTCTTAAAAGACACTCCTCAATAGCCAAATCTTTGTTTGGTTAACACTAAACCTACCGAGTAGTTGTACTGACTTTTTGAAATTCCTCTACGGCACCTTCAACGGTGCATCGAGACTTTAATTAATTTATAATTCAGTTTGCGTGCTGAAGCAATTTCTTTAATAATTTATCAGAGAAATATCTGTTATCTTTTTAATCATTACGAAAAGAAGAAGTTAGGAATGGGTCATTTTGACTTTCTGGTAGGTTCAGTGTTGATATTGAAAATTTAGGGAAGAGAATATGTTTGGAATACGAGAAGTTTGGGGTAGCTTGAAATCAAAGATCTAGATTTTAATTTGAAAACGATCTTGTCTCTACCGCTAGTTTCTCAGTACTAGTCGACAATGGAATTCACGATAATTCGACACATGATGCGCGATTGGTCCTCCTATCCAGATACCGCGTCACAAAGCCTGATGTGTAATTGGTCTCAAATAGGTTAATAAAATTCGCCCCCGCCGTCCCGGCCGGTTATTTTCCCCGTAAAAATGAGATTACCCTTGGATCCTATTGGTTCTCGACCAAAGCCTGAAATCCAACTGGAAGGGCAGGGACGAGTGCCAGGGACCCTTCGTCGCGACTTTCTCTCTTTTATTTCGTTTCTTTCGAATCTTACGAGAACGATATCCTCATCATCTCCTCCACGAGAGTGTTCCCTTTCGGCATCAGTCGCTGGGAGGCCTCGCAGAGCGCTCGAAGCACGCATGTTCTTCCGTCGAAGTTCATCCTGAAAGAACGCACGGAATTAGGAGAACGGTTCTCTCGGAAAATTGGATGTCAGAGGGACGCGATTAAGCGGAAGGAGAATTGTTGTTCGATTGTTATTTGCCCGGTCGCCGGAAAAGATTCGTCTCGTCCGTTGTCCAATTTCCTTTGCTCGCGACAAACATTTGTTGTTCTACTTGCGCTCTCCAATTTTGGTTTTTCCAATAATGGAGGAGAGAAGAATAAAATTTGATATTTTGTTCGTCGACAAAGCATTCGACGGTCGAACGCTGCACCGTCGCTTCACGCATATCGAAATTAAAATGACCTCTTCGGATTCCGTGAATGAATTATTCAATCGTTTCAATCGAATGTTGAACACCGTGAATAATATTCATTCATCCGTGGATATATTTGGCGAATCCGACCGCGCGTTTCGGTGTTCGTTGTGTTTTATCTAACTTATACGTTATTCGATACCGCTACTGACTCGTAACGCGTTTCCTTTCTTTCGCGCAGCTCCTTTTCATTTTTCTTTGCACATTTCTACAGGGCTCTACTGAGTAATAAGTTAATAACAATAATACGTGTTGCGAGTGTTATACGTCTCGTCGGCGCAGCGACACGGAACAAGTTTCACGCGAAATAACCCGGGAAAGCGTATTAATGTATCCTTTTGCCGTCGAACAGGCGTCTCGTTAGACGTGAAAGGGGCGGTACGATGTATTCTTATCTGGCCGACCTTTCTTCCAGGAAGATTAAAGTCTTCTTTGAGGGAACGTTTCAAAAATTCGTTCCGCCTCTCCAATAATTTCACCCTTGATTTGAGTGGCCGGCACAGAAGCCCGCCAGACCGCGATCGATTCTTTAAAGTCTTGTCCGTCGAACGTCGAAACGGCGCGCGTCACAGGATCGACGTTGAAGCACTGGCTACGAACAACGGACGGATTTTCCGTGATCCGATGCGTCGGTAGCGAGCCTGTCATTTTCAACCCTTTACGCTCGGCAACGATTTCCACGTTCGGTTGCGACAGCTCCTATATTATAGACATATTTCGTTCAATCAAATTTCTCACTAGAACCGCTGTATTCTCGCAGTTTTCACGTTTCACAATGACCGATATCCTGAAAGCATTAAACATTCGAATTGACTCAAAGAATACAAACTTTTACTTGAATACTATAATGAATATTCAAAAGGAAACTGAGGATAATCTAGTTTTATACAATTTTGATAAGGATTACATATCAATCGGTAATTCTAGCTTTCAGATTGCTTATTGTTTATACTTCATAATGTTTCATGGTGCGCCATCTCTAGAAGTAATATCTCGAAATGCTATTTACCAGCGCAGCCGGGATTTCGTGGGCAAACCGTTATATTTTCCTATTAGAGAAATAAATATAAACATAAATGTTGATCTAGAAGTTGACCGCGAGCCTTAGTCAGAAATCTCGTTGCTCGTTTCACGGGCTGACGCTGGAATCCGGACGCGAACCCGCTGGAGGAACCAGGCCGCGTTCTCCCCGTGAGATATTGCCCGACATTAGCGTCAACCTTTATTGAAATACATAATATTTACCTCCCGTGGAAGGGACGCTGAAGAAGTAGATAGATTGAAACGCACGATCCCATGCAATAAGGTCGCGTTCTACGATCGCCAATCCGGGCAAATGTCTGCCATTAATTCAGGGAGACTCTTCGAAAGGGAGAACGGAGATTCGCGGGAGTGGGTCCGAAGAAACTGGATGGAATTAATGCTACGCTAAGCTCGCGCGGCCAATCTCCTCGCATACCGGAATCTACTTCTATCGCAAACTGGCCTCCACTTCATCCGCTGTCCCGTGAATCACAGTAAATCAATTTAGAGTTGCGATAAGAATAAATATTCAACCGAACGTTCGAGATTCGATTCAACGATGATGCTGTTTAACTTCTTGCCTTGCAACGCAGCGCGTCCAGGGACTCGCGGCCAAGTTTCGAAACCGAAGTTAACAAGCATCGCTTCTTTCTTTCGGGTCGAAATTAAATATTATGTTTCCCTTGCGAATATTTAATCTTCACAACGAATGCGGTTTCGTTCTCTCCTTTTGCGAAACCTTTAATCTTTGTAGCAGACTTACAACGGACATAGAGTTTTCTTTTATTCTGGTTAATTATTGAAGATAACAGAGCTTTAACCTTTTGCCATATAACGACGAGTGGTAAAGTGTTCTGGATCAGATTAATAGAAATCAGTGGTACCGCAGACGTGTCGGAATGAACATTTTATTTTTGAACTAAATGTATACTTTCAACGATAAGAAATCTTCTTTGTATTCTTGCAAATTGTTAACAGTAAGATATATCTAATGAGCAGGTTTAGAAATTCTGTGGCAAGTGGTTAAACCGCAAATATCACCGCCGTGATTTTTCTCATACAGTTTATGGAGCGCTTGAGCGCGATTAAGACAAGACGTCGTTATTATTATTAGTATCATTATTATTATTATTATTATTATTATTTTTCAATGCAATGCCGGCTTCCTTAACGAAGATATGGTTTCCGTGAATAAATAAACACGCGGAGGGCACTGGAACAAATGGCACGGCACCCAGCGCCGGCCAGAAATTGATTCTAGACGTTGGTAGCGGCGTATAGCGTTACGGTGGTTTGCCAAGGGGTGGTTCACGGCGGTGTTGGAGCTGCTTAAGGGCGGCATGAATCAGAAGGTGGCGCCTCAACCAGCGCGGAACGTTACCGTAGCACCGACGTAACCCTGCCGGGGGGATGGGGTTGTTTCTGAACGAGCCTGGCAGACCATTTATCTGTTTCTGGGGGTAGCAACCATGGGGGAAATGGTTCCTCTTCCCTCTCTCTCTATCTGCTTCTGTAACACGCGCAATAGAGCGGGGGAGAGAGAGAGAGAGAGAGAACAAGCGTGCCTCATCCATAATCAGATTTATATCCACCGTCGAGGGGCTTGATTATTTTTCGTCGGCCACTTGCTATTGTCCGAAATAAAATTGGATGCATGTAAATGACACGAGAAACATTTTTGAGCGAAATAAACTATGCGAGCCGAGTTCTTGGAACGGAGTATACACCGGGTGCTCGAGGAAATAGAATAAATGAAACTGTTCCGTTGGTTGCTTCGTATTTTCACCGATAATCCTTCCAATTTTGACGCGCGCAGTAGTAGGAATGATGTGTAGCAAAAAGTAGGAACGTCAAATGATCGGATACGACGCGCGATAGCGTCGGATGAATTTTCAGTCTCATTTTTCAAGAATACGACGCCTCGAATGAAAGACCTTTCTTATTTTTTCCTCGCTCTATTTTTCTTTTTTCTTCCGTTCTCTTCGTGGAATTACGTTATATCGGGTCGCATCACTCATGCCGGGACAGGCTGTGTAGGCGTGTTGCATCCACGGGAGAGTCGATATTTCCTTTCCGCCTTGAGAGGTGTCCTAAGTACTCGGGTGGCCGTCGACTTGGATACCATCATCGCGACGATCCAACGACAACGACGTTTTAGTGGGACGCGACCGAAATACATCATCGCGGATGACGCGGAAAAACTGAGGAGGTTCGACGCCTCTCCATAAACGTAGACGGCTGCGATCGTTCGATCACGATTGCGACTACTAAAGCCGCCCGTTACATTTTATTATACGGCGCGCGCCTCTCGTTCCGGCCGCACTTCGCGAGAATTTATTCGTCGCTACGATTTTGAAATACGGGTTAATGGACTCGCCGGGCTGAACGTAAATGGACTCTCCGCTCGAAAATGTTCGCCGGGAAACGAACTCCGCACGCTATCTCTTAACTTGTTACGCCTTGTCATGCGATTCCACGTGTTTCGGTGTTATTCAACTTCACCACTTTCCCCGTTTGCCGCTCGAGATCTTTGATGGGGAGAGGCACGCTTTAATTCAGCTTTAATAGAGGATCTTACGCGTTAACATTTTTATCTTGTTGGATCGGTATACGGGCATTTTCGGTATTTTTTAACGAGGAATTCACGATTCGACGAAGATTGTTTTAAGGAGGAGGAACTAGTCTTTTCGCTCTTAATATTTCTTCGATTAATATTTCTACTGGAATGATCGGATGAGTCGTAATGAATTTCGAAACTTTCTTTCTTAGATATTCGTTTAAATTAAAATACGAGCGAATTGAAATTTCGATGAAGGTTTACATATAATTTCTGTAACAAGGTACAAAACAGTGATCTTTTGATAATTCTAGTATTAAGAATCTCGAGTGACTTTTTCAGCAATCGCGTAATATATTAGACGAATATATTTATAAGTGTACTTACGCGTTCATGATGGTTTCTAGTTTACTGTAAAGGTCCCTGCGATGCCTCCTCTGCAGATAATAGTAATCCGGTTTATAATATTTTCGTTTGCCAGGCTTGAAACTCGAGTACTTCTGGAAGCTGTTCCATCCAGGATAGGCGACAGCGTTTTTGTCGTTGGTTCCGTAACCGTCGTACTTATTAGCAGGTTTGATTCGATCGTTCCTGAGCTGAAGAAACGGCTCGAGGATCGGCTTGCTCTCGTTCGGTAAATCGTACGAGATACCCCAGTTTACGCCTTCCGTAAAAATGTCGTCCGGCGTCAAAGTGTGCATGGTCATGCAAAGTGCGATCTGCGAATAACGAGCGGCCGCTTGTATTTTAACCGCGTCCTGTCCGCCGAATCGATTACCTTATTAGCATGAGACGGTTTCATCGCGGTGCACGACGGGAAAATAATTCACTCCGTAAATTATTTTCCTGTCTACACGCGGACGTGTATCGACTTATTCCGAAATCGCGGCCGCTTAACGATTCCGCCACGCCCGGTGAATCGCGGGTCTGTGTATCCAACGGTAATAATTTACAATTTGTACATCGCGCGAAGTATCATATAGAACGGAAACTCATGAATGTTAGATCGAAACAATTCATGTCCGATTCAACGTTTCATATTGAATCGCGTTTCGCGCGTGAAATATTAAAGATCCGATAAACTGATACGCGATCGAGTATCGCGTTCAAACAACAACAACAGCGAAAACAGAAGAATAAAAACAGATAAAGAAGGAAGTACGAACGAATCGCTTCGCAACGCGACGAGACGTGACGTCACGTTGTCACGCCGGATTCGTTTTACTTACGGAGAACGTCGAGCCTTCTGGAAAAACAACGTAACGCCTCTTCCGCGACAGGAATTTCTCATCCGAGCTGGCTCGGCGATCGCTTGCAAGGATGCACGATATTAAAAAGAGGAGGCAACCTGCGCACCGATTCATGGTTGTTCTGGAAAGAAAAGGTGAAAAGTTAGCGTCCCTTCGAGGGAGATTCAAAAGGCTCCTCGAAGGAGGTGACCCAGATACACAGGCACGGGGCGCGCAACTGCGCGCGCGGCCCATCCCCGTCCCAGCGGAACATTATTAACATTCAAAAGCTAGGAAAAGAACAAGTCCGCCCGGGCAAACAAGTCGAGAGACAAGAGAGCGTCGCCGTCAAATCAATCGGAGATCCGTTTGCGTTTCACAAACTCTTGCCCGTTACATAAATAACGGAAACGCTTTGTTCCGCGCGGCCTCGGGACGACGCGAGACGCGAGACGACGTGCCGACTGCGGACGAATCTCGGCGGACGCGACGTCTCCTCGTCTCCGCGACATTCTAATTACCGTGGGACGAATAATCGAGCAATTAGAAGTCGCGGCCAAGTTATTCCGGCCGTCATCGTTTAACGAGAATCAAATGAACCGGCCCCCGCCGAGATACAACAAAATGAACGCGCGCGTTCCCGCCCGCGTCCAACCGGAAAGTGGCCTTTCCCCCGAACGGACATCTCATTAATCCCGACCCGAAGCGACGCTATGAGCGGGGGAACGAGCAATTTTCTCGAAAGTCAACGGGACGTCTCGCGAAGTCGGCTGGAATTGTTTTATTTGTCTCGCCGCGAGGCGAACGACGGAAACTTCGTTCCGTGTCGATGCGGCCGCGAGTTGTAAAAGGATTACTTGACTTTCCGCGAGTAAATCTCGCTATAATTCGCTGGGAAATTGTTCGACCGTTTCGCTGAAAGAAAGGTTGCGTTGTCGAGGACTTTGTTTACAATGATAGACACCTCGATCGTGGGAGTCGTTCCAATGAGTCTTCGTAGCGATCTCGGAGATTCGAAACTGTCCTTCGCGGCACGTAATCATGTTGGCTACGATATAAATATGGTTGATCGTACTTGTGGTAAAACTAGAGTAGCTGAAGAGGTGTGAAAGAGTGAACGAACGACGGGACCATGAAATTAAGGTGATTAGTGCAAGTATATACGTACGTACGTGACCGTGCAAGCGTTTGTTACGCGACAACGTGATAACGAGAACCGTTAATATACTTTTTCATTCGACTTTTTATTAGTAAACTCTATTACTTGTTAAAACAACGTGATCCGCGAGTCCGTTAACCCTTTTACCGCGGCATCGCTTTCTATTTCCTCTGGAATAAAATCCTACAATTGTTTTCCGCATCCGGTCTTAAAACACTGCGACTTTTATCGTCGACTGTAAGGGATAAACAATCCACCAGATGCGCGGAAGGGAAAGAATTCCGTGGAATACAGTCGCGAACGGCTACCGTAACGTAAACCGTAAAACCGTCGAGCGAATCACTGGCACCAGCTTAACACTCGATACGATACGCCCATCCAGAATTTTCCAGCGCGCGACGCGCATTAAAAACATCGCGAGCCCGCCGTTTACTGTAGCGGAAGGTTCAAAATCGACGCGATATATTCGCGCCGCGAATGAGAACGGAAACTGCCGCGCAATTGCGTCGCTAGATTGCATAGTTCGCGAACGACCTGCGATTTCTCGGGGCGACATCGATGAACCAAGCCACGTACGCGCGAGTTGCCAAGAATCGCCGCTAATTCGTCACCGGAATCGTCCCGATCCGTCTTCGGATCAGCCGACAACTTGTCGGTCGACGATATCGGCTTTTTCTTCGGCCGCCTTCACGCCCGTCTAGCGCGCGAATAGGGAAATTGCGCGTTCCAGTGTAATTGCGCGTCGATTCGTCCTCTCGGTCTCCTTGCCTAACGTCTGTCGCTGCCCGACACTCGTTTCGCCGCCATTCTTTCGCGTCCAATCCTCCCCTTCATTTCCCATCGCCGCCCCGCGCGCTCTTCTGTCTTCGTTTGGTATTCTTTCGGTTTCATTTCTCCCCTTTTTAATCCTTTAAGTGCGCATTTTGATGAGGAACTTTCTTTCTTGCCGACCAGAAGCTCAACTCCCCCGCGCCTCCCCGCCCGATCTCTACCTTCCGCGCTTGACACCGAAGAATAAGGAGAAGCCCGGATAGCACGAAAGATTTGCGTCTTAAAGAAGTCCCAACTGGAGCGTCTCCACTGGCTGTATCTTATAATTGAACCCGTCGAATTTAACGAACAAAGTTCCCCGCTGAAGCTTTACAACGTTCCCGTGAAAATCTCGCCGTTTGATTCCCTTGTCGCGACCGTAACCGTAAAACTCAGTTGGAAAATGCTTTATATCGGCCGTCAGGCTAAACGTCGCGTTGCCTCGCGTCGAACACCGACAGTGAATAAGAAGTCGCGCAATTTCCTTCGTCAGGGACCTCGTTACCGCTTCCCTTCTCTTATCCTTAGGCGGATCGCGTCAACTTTACCGCCGTCGCGTTCGTTCGTTAATAATAAATTGTATTTCCCACTGTTCCCCGTTCCGCACCAAACTCCGGTGTCGTTTTTCTTCTTTGATTATCCTTGCACCGCGTTTCCCTTCCTCGCAGCGGCGTCCCCCTTTCCGTCTGCGATCCGATGGCTCAAGGAATTCCAGCTTTGTCGCGGCGAAAGGGATATTGTCGAATTCCTTCGGGGAACTCGCGTCGACGTCTCCCGTTCTGTCGGCCAGTGTCGATTTTTCCGACGTTCGAACGGCTCCGTGATTACTTCGCGCGGAAGGATCGTTTGAATCGCTCAGGGTTCAAGTCGAGCACCGTGACAGGAGGCGTCGTCAGAATCCGATTACCTTTATTGGCGAATTTCGGCGACTTTCTCCTCGTGTCCCGCACGGATGTCCCGTCGGTTTTGTTCCTGCCGCGATCGTTTTGCGCGTAAAAATGGACGACGACCGCGGTTGATATATTTTTAGGAAATTGAAAGGAACGAACGTTACGGCTTCCATTGCGCGCTACCGGTATTTTATTCCATTGATCCCATTGTCGTTGCGCAGCAGATACCCATTTGTTTACCGAACGCGCTATTGGGATAGCGAGAACGATGCGCAGTAGAACGTGGAAATCATGATCGCACGCAATTTACGCGTTCGAGGGTTTTGTGCTGTTTTCCCTTTGCGGCCGGTGCGTTGGGCGATCGGATGGTTAAGACGGAAATCTGCCGTTGGCGGTGGAAATTATAGCGGTAAAGGAGAGGGGGCAACGAACGAAAGAGAATAGATTTGGAATATAATTAGTACCGAGAGAAGAAAAAGACACAGCTAGTTGTTAGTCCAAACAAAGATACAGCAACAGCAAAGACGAGGGTAGGGAAAATGGTGGACGCGCGATAAAAGGATTACAAAGAGGCAAGGCGGCGGACTTAGATTGCGGAATTATGCAAATTCATATGGGAATTATGTAAAAAGACAAACGAACGTTGTCGCGCGGGATTTTCTGTAGCAAAACGGAAGAGGGCCGAGGAGGAGGAGAGAAACGGAACTAACGGAACAGCAATATCGGCTGAGTTCGATAACTTAAACAATGGAATCCAATCGCATGTGCTGTGATTTAAATTTGGACGAGGAGGAGCGTGGCAAACGTCAAATCGAATGAAATTCCAGTCTGATCGAATCAGAACAACGCTCCCGTTCTCCCAGGGAATCTCCTCGGAATCTATTAGACGAGTCAACACAAACGATTGAAATTTCTCAACTGCTTTCTACCCTCGTTCGTTCGTTCGTTCGTTCGTTTGTTCGTTCGTTCGTTCGTTCGTTCGTTCGTTCGCTCGCGATGTAACTTTACCGCCCGGGAACACCGGAAACGTGATTCGCCGAAAAATATTTCACGGTCGGCGGGTTAAAATGTACAAATATTGACGATACATTAACATGCCGTTTCCCGCCGCCGCGTAACGGGGACGGATTCTCGCGGTTTCTCGCCGTATTCTAACCGAAGCTCCGATTATATTTTATTGATGCAAATTACCATCGACCCTTACTCTCGCGCGGATCAGGATATCGCCATGATACGATACTCGCTGGAAGATGGAATCACGGGTATGCGAATCGCGGTGCTTAACCTTTAGAGTGCAAACGTCGCTGTGAGCGATGCTGAAAATTTGTCGAAAAAGTGTCAGCATCGCTTTCAGCTACCCTTTTTTTTGATAGCCATAGATGGAACTATCAATAGAATTGTCCATATTTTCTGTTGTATGTATCACTATTAAAAATTTTAAAGAGTCACTGACAATGACGCTGGCACTTTTTGGACAAATTTTTAGTTTCGCTCACAGTGACGTTGGCGCTCTAAGGGTTGATATTACATTAATTATATCGATGCAACGATTAGGCGAGAGATTTAATACTTAGAATTCTAGCATAGTTCCGTTGACCGGATGACAAAACGCCCCTGTCGACCGCGAAATTATCTCCTCTCCGAGCGGACGGCGAGGGGTGCGTTTATTGCGTCGGCCGCGCGACATTTCGCACCGCTCGTTTCTCTTCCCCGCGTTTTTTGACGGATCGCCGCGACGATTCCCGAAATTGTTTCGGCCCTTGAAATATGGTCTCGTCCGGGTGAAACGGCCGATCGATACGGGCAGCGTGTGTTCGCAGCGGAGTCACGTCTCCGATAACCCAGCTTCGCGCCGGAAGTTGACGTTCACGCGCCGAGCCTCGGAACTGCGGCGAAAGGGCATAGCCGAGTAAGGAGGGGTAAACGTGCTCCCAAACCAAATCGATCTTCGCACATACCACTCGACAGATCCATCGAAGAAACCCCTTTACGCCAAGTTTTAAGTTACTACCCCCGTTATTAAGGTAGTTAAGGGTGGAAAGCTATACGCGGTTTGTGCTTGACATTTTGTATTCTGTTCGATAAGAAATTACGATAAAAATGTTCGATAAAAAAATCATAGTTTGTCTAGATGTGGATGTACATTTCTGGGAATTTTTTCAGAATTTTAAACTACAAAATCGATTTTTAAACAATTCGAGGACATTACAAATGTTGACTTTTTATTTAAATTATCAGAGTACCACTTTTATATCTCCATAAAATTACCGTCTTATTATGACTATTAATGCTCTATTTTTCATATTTCTCGGAATGGGGAACACAGTTAGAGAAGATAACCGACATTTTTCTACGTTATCGGTGCGTCGAATGATACACCACTCCAAGAAATCTGAAGAAATTATAGATAAATAGCTATAACAAATCACAATATTTGTAAGAATATAAATACGACCACGTCCGACCGCCAGACTCATGTTATCGTTATGAATAGTTTTGGCAGAATGAATCACTTTAGCGCTGCTAGCGATCGAGCGCGCTCCCGTCGTTCTAGATAATTATGATATAATCAAGGAGCATTTACGAACTTCTCGATAAATGTTCAAGACTACTGACTTCGGAGAAGAACCTCTCGAAGGAGGAAGGGCGAAGAATTTCATTGTCTCAAGATATGAAAGAAATCTCCGACGCAAGCATCTCGAGAAACGGAATGGAGGTAACCGCGGCGAACAAGAAGATCGATTCCCCTGGTGGAAGTATTCTGTAACTCGGCTCGGTAAACTCTTTAGGAAACAGGAAATTGTTAGTCCGCCGTGGAAGAGTGGGCGTAGGAAATGATCGATAGGTGACGCCGATACTGAAAAACACGGCGGACTTAGAGCGGGCTGCTCCCGTTGCAGCTGCCACCGCCGCCGCCGCCGCCGCTGCTGTTGCCGCAGCCGCCATTGCCACCGCCTTTCGGCACGAACGATGGCGGCGACGTGATCACACTTATCAGAGAAACCGTATTACCGCGCGACCATCAGCTGGCTTCCCTGGCCCCCGTTTCTTTCTTTTCTCTCTTTTCGTCGCGATGCCCGATCGTTAAGGGCCGCCCGAAGAAATATGATATTGCGACCGTTCCGTCGCGTCGCTCATTCGTTCGATTCAATTTACGCGGAGGGAACAGCGCGAAATTGATAACGATGCCGGCTGATTGCGTTCGCGATGAAAATACTTCGTCGATCGGGTCCGATAGATTGCCATGCCTAGCGTTCGCGGTGTCTATCGTCCGACTTCCGGGAATTTTAACGAGCGTTCAAACTCTGCTGCTGTGGAACGTCGACCGCCGTCCGAGAGCCAGATTCACGGATTTTAAGAAACCCTGACGAGTTGTATTTATACGATAGGTTCCCGCGCAGCACCTTCAGAGTGCGGAAAAGTGTAGTGTTCTTCAACGCTAAGGGGACTTGATACGCGAAGGATCGATCCTTTGAAAAAAACGAGGCAGACGTTCTTGTAACGGTCGAACAGATGAGACCTTGCCTTATCCGAGCAGAGGATACTGTTCTAGCGATGTAGTAAGAACTGTATGTTGCTGATTACACTACCTCTTATAAGGTCTTACAAAGTATCAACCCTCGTAAGAAGCTGGTCGAAGAATACTCTTATCTCCGGCGCTAGAGCGGATAAGACGTCGTCTCATCCGAGCAAATTGTGCGAATGCAGTAAGAGATTCGCGTTGTTGATCGTACATCCCTAACAATTCCCTTCACAACCTCGTGTAATTTCTTGCAGTATATGTACCTACTCGAGCGACGCGGACGCGCGGAGACCCTTGTAATCCAGTGGATCGTATGGAAATCAGTTTACTCACCGATGTGGTTTGCTCCTGCGCGAGGTCTCTCGACGAATGACAGTCGGACCCTGTGTCGAACGACCGTTATTATTGCAGTTTCAGCTTGGTCCGAGTCGGGCCGGACCGGGCCAGGCCGTTCCGGGACGGGCCATTGTCGAGTTCATTAACGCTTCCCACGTTCCTCCGCTTTATTTGACGAACAATTAGCAGCAGGTTGATGGTCGAGCCAACTATCGCGCAGGAACGCTAATCACCTCCATCGCTATTGTTCGCGTCGCGGAACACCGTTTCCGCAAGCTTCCCTCGACCATGGGAACGAATTGCTCGCGAGAAAATAGCTGAATCACCTGCAGCCCGTAAGCAGAAAAATGATAATCGTTGGTGGAAGGAATTCGATCGGTGACCGACTCGTTTGCTTGAATGCTGAACGATTTTCGTACGTCTCGGCCAAGACGCCGTGCTTTCGCGAAGTAATATTTCATTCGACCGAGTTGCATCATCGTTCTTTACACATCTTTCCTGCCGAGTATCACCTCTTTACGTTACATCATTTGTAATATTGAAAATACTGTTTGACGCGAGGAATATCCATTTAAACGAACGAACTGCAGTAATTCGATTCAATTGGCAATCACCAGTGATCCACACAGCGCCATAGAAAAATCGGACGCCTGTCCTCGGTGATTCCCACGGCATTCAACGTGTTCATTCTACAGAGCGATACTAATGACGAGATCAAGCGCCGGTTAATTACCGTACACTGTATAACGTGACAATATTGAACGTTCCGATTGAGAACCGGTTGATTGGAGATTGCCTGGCCTGAACGGTCGCTCGCCGACCCGAGGCGCTGCTCCGACTTCGTAATTTGTATCGAAAAAGTTAAGAGGGGCTTCGTTCTTCGTATCGTGGATCTGTCGATACGAACACCTCGAGCCGTGCGCTTTGGAAAATTGGGTCGTGTCGTTCGGAGCAGCCCGTCGAGACTCGTTTCCGAACTTTCCGTGGAAAACAATGAAAGAGTTTAAAGGCGTGGGCGAGCTGGGACACTGCGGGGCAGGATGGGACGGTCTGGAGGGTTGGACTCGAGAGAAATTAGCGTCCGACGATGACGATACGTTGAGAAGGTACCCATGCGACCTGCCACGTTGAATTCCAGGGAATCGATAAGCTTCGTGACTGTAGGCTTTTAGACTGTAAACTTCGTGGGTCCTCGGCTGCCGACGAAAGACAATCCATGTACGTGGATCCACGATAATAACGTCGGCTGAACTTCCGCGGAGGGAGCGCAATTATGTTGACAACTATTTGGAAAACTTCGATAGCCTGAGAAACTCCGTTCGTCCGAGTTCCCGCTGACGGGAACTTTCCGAAAATTAGGACTCCGCTGCCTGCCACGCAGTAGGTCCGTTCCCATAACGTGAAATGATTAGCTTTTTCCGGCATTGTTTACATAATCTAGTCGGGATCGGACCAATGATCGCGATCCCTCCGAACTTCCGTGAATACTTTGAACGCGGGCGATAGCTGAGGAGATTCTCGGAGAACTTAGGCAAGTCGGATAAGTCCTTGCTAGCCTGCGGACGTGATCCTAGCTGCGTTTCCTGTTATTTCCATTCAAACGAAACAGTTAAACCGTGTTCGACGTCTTCGTACGTGGTTGCATATGTACCTGGTTTAGTGTAGTTTAGAAATAATTTCGTACGATTCTCTTGCATCCCTTTAGCGTAATAAAAGTCACTCGCAAATTTAGCCAGCCTTTAATTTCTACGAGTCTCCTTTGAGATTCAAATTTCATTTCATTTCATTCATTCACTGCTATATTCTTCCTTTTCCCTTTCAATGAGGAGCTAGTAATCAATTATAGAGATAAACGGATAAACAATAATTGTATAAATTTGAACGTCTCTGGTAGTTAGGTTCAAATGCTGGCAGCTGAGGAGTCAGATCAAAGCTTTGACAGAGCAGGATCGAAACGATAAGCGGCTGTGATAATCGCAGCCATGCGTGTCGATTACCTCGCGATGCAACAGCGCGTAACAGGCAGCCGAAGAGCGACAGATGCGTCGCGACGTCGCGACGTTGCGACGCGTCTCGTCCCGTCTCGTCCCGTCTCGTCTCGTCTCGTCTGGTCTCGTCGCGACCGCTTAACCAGTTTAGGCTGGCAGGGTTAGGCTGTATGTTCCGAATGTATATTAACCGCTTATCCGTTTCGCCAGTCTCCCGGGGTTGTTGCGACGTTTACGCCTTGAGGGCTTCGAGCAGCAGGGATTTTCCCCGGGGCCGTCGAACTTCGTCGATGACAAGGCGGGGATTTATGAGAGCCAAGATAACCAGACCAACTACTCCGTTCCCTCAGTCTATCAGCATCCGAGTATCTTCGAGGTGTACTTTAACGGTAGCTCGGGGTTTGTTGTCCGCGATTCGGTGGACCGATAGAATTTTCGGGGATAGCCAGTTGCTCGGTTTGCTCGTGGATGTTCTCTACCTTTTATCGAAACCCCTTTCTCGAAAAAATATTCGAGGCAGAAATTCGAACTTGTGAAGATCAATTCGATCAAGAAGGTCGCTGCAACGAATGCAGTTGGGGTTGGATGGGGTTAAAAGTCCGGCGGGTAAGAAGTCCCGAATTGGAAATCATTATTTGCTTATCAGTTCACCGAGCGTTCAGTACATTTTGATTTGTTAAACGTTTTATACTGTAATTTAATCAAGGAAAATGGTATCAATCGAAAAATAGTGTGAAAATAAAGTACGATAGGTATAGTATACACAAAAGAAAAAAAAACATTTTCGCGTCGTTATTTGCGTTGCAATATAGTTTGGTTAAATACAAAGTTATGGTTGGCGATCGAAAAAGAATTGATAGGTAGATTGAAAGCAAATATTGCGAAGGTTAACTTTCGGTCGAACAGTGTTGGATATCAAATCTGCGAGCCTTCCATGGTCCAATGGTTTATTGTCAGCTAATTGTAGTGTCTGAGTACAAATTAAATAATAACAGTTGCAGGAAGGAAAAAGGACAAGCGTAAGCTTCCTCGCAGTGTGCGCTGGTCCTGTACGCAATGTCGTAGTGATCAATTTTCCTCGTATCCTCAATGTTACTGAAAAGCGAAGACAATCTTTTTTCTTAAGAAGGAACATGCTGCGATTTTCCAAGTCGAAAATAGTTGGACTTACCTTAGAATCAATCGAATGACGTCCTCGACGAACGAAACACCCGGCGGACTCAACAGCGTCTTCGCCTCGCAGATAGTTCTCAGAACGCACTCCCGTCCTGGCAAATTTTGGCTAAAACCAGATCGTTTATAGCATCATCTCACCGAAAGCACATCGAATTCAATGAAAAACGTCACGAGTACCTATTCAATGCAGTTTCAAAATTAGCGTACAATTCACGGCGATGTCTCCTCTTGATGATCCACGGTCTCTTGAATAAATACTTTTTTTTCGTGTTCTCCTGCGTCGGAATGGGCCAGATAGTATCGAACTCGAAATCGAGATACCAGCTTGCTGGCATTGGGTACAGAACCGACTGCAGCGTCGACACCGTAATCTGAATGAAGCAGAATCACCGGGTTACAATTCACTGTTCTCCCATTTTGATACGACAGCTGCGGATACATCCCACGAAACGACATCGTTGCACTTCTTATCCTCCCCAGACACACGAGTGCACTGTCGAGTCATCGAACAACCGAGAATCGCCGCGGGCCTTTCGATTTCGATAAAAGATTAACATGTCCGCGATCGGCGTTCGGTTTTGTGGCAATCTTCGTAGTTGCGTTTTATTAATCGCATCAAATCGTTTTTACAAAATGCAAATAGAATTTAAGAGAAAAGTCACGTCAAATTCCTATACCTTACACCATGCGTTATGATTTTAGACAGAAACACGCGTGAAAGTAATTTAATAGTCACGCAAAATACAAAACGCTGACCGTCACAAATGCGAAACGCCCTATGACCGATCGTCCGGCATTCGCTTGGTCTCCGAAATCGTGTGTACACTTACCACGAAAGCGCTGCCCTTCGGAAAAGTCAAAGCCCGCCTGCGTCTGGAAAGGGTCTCCGGCAACCTTTGACCGGGACCGCTTAAGACGGTGTCATTACGGTGATACACTGGGTCCCCGGGGGCCAGCTCCAGGAACAGGATCTCGGCGAGAACCAGGACGAGCCACGGGGCTCTCATTTCTCGGAATTACCGGCTGAAATCAGCCGTTTTGCAGAGCGGAAGACCTCAGACCTCTCCTGGGAGGTGCCGGGCGGAAAAGTTTTTCAGGAAAGCCGAGAACATCTTTCGCGGTTACGAGTGACCGAGCCACGCCAGCTGACGTTTCGTTCGCGAACTGCTGCGCGCCGGCCCGGTCACGTGAAGCGCCGTCACTGAACCGGCGGTGTTTGATCATCGAGTTATCGGGCTCCGTCACGCGGTTGCGAAGACCCGGTTCACTTTGCCGATCACGCGCTAACGCTCCCGAGATTGTTTTGAACGACGTTATTCGATGTGCAGTTAGAAAGACGAGTCGACTTTGCACAGGCTATTCTTGGCTCGCGTTGATTCTTTGCACGCTTGACGATCGCGGAACTCTGCTCTAGAGTATAACGAACTCGAACTGAAAGAAAAGGAAGCTAGTTAGACGACATTCATCGTTATTTTGAGATGGATAGCATAGTTCGTGGAGTATCTTAATTTTCGATGACAGAACCTTTGGACTCAGACGTAAAGACACAAGATTTACAAGTTACACGTTGACATTTGCAGCGATGCAGGCATCGTTACAAGCGATGGGTTTGAGTCTTATAAAGTTCATAGCACATTTTGCACTCAAAGGAGGATTAAAAACGGCTCAAATTCATCGCTTGTTGCAATGTCTACGTCGCCGCATGTTTCATCGTGTATGAGGCCTTAACGCAACTAACTTTCGTATCTCTGGTTTCGAAGTTTTTACCACGGGTAGTACCTGTAGTAGAAAACGAATAGACGAGGGGATATTGTTGTCGATCGAGTATCGATATCCAATTAACTCTTTCACCGTAAGGAATTTTTCTCTCGGGATCTCCTTAGCTAGACAAATGATTCAACAACGATCGAACGTCGAATCACGGCGCGGGACTAACAGCCTCGGACGCATACCGCGACCTTTCGCGTCATTCGGCGAAGAACGATTCCTCGCTGGAATTTTGGGCGGCTCGCAGAGATTCCCGGATGAGAACCGATTTCCATTCACGAACCGCATCGTAGCGGTGGTGCCGCGCGGGATGGGAGTGTCCCTAAATTTCGCAAATCTCTCGAAATATATTCGACGCGGGGCGATGTCTCCGCGTTATCCAATCTCCAGGAATCCTGACCATTTCCGTGGCTTCCATCTGTGGGGTAATTTCACCGTGGGCCTGCCTAGTCTCGCCGTTCCACCCCCGTCCCGTCCCATCCCTTTTTCTTTCCCCCTTACAAGCGAGTACATCCACGGATATTTCCTCTCGCTCTCTCCGTAGGAGCGGAGAGTGATTTATCCAACGTCCGGGACGAACTGATTTCGCTTGTCCAAACCTGGCCGATGGCCCTTAATTAAACGGGTCGCTGCATTTTAAACGTGGACGGGGGAATTCCCGAAATTGCGGCCCGGCCAATACTTTCCCGAATAAATGAATCCTTGATGTCCCGGCCAAACGGGTCGTTCCGCGGAACGACGATAATCCCGGGCGAAAGTTTGATGCGCGCCGGTTATAGTATCGTGCCGCGACCTTTTTCCATAAAAAAGAGAGAATAGGAAGCTAGACCGATCTTTTTCACCATTGCAGCGTGCCTTTCCGTCGCTCGAATACAGTAACTCGATTGCGGGTCGCGCGGTCTTCCCTCTCGCCCCGTTACGCGAGCGTTCGCCGTGCCCGCTGGAAGTGTATCTCCAATTTTCGGTTAGCAAATTTGCGTTCATTCCGATGTCAGTCAGCGAGTAGACGCGCGGTTGTTGTTAATGAAACGGCGAGTGGATAAAGTGCCGTCATTAATCAGACGCGAAACGGTTCGCTCGGGTCGATGCGGCGCGGCGCGGGAACGGAGCGCAGCCAGAGGGATTTTCTAATTTTCTGCTGGCTCCACGATCAACGGAGGAATGCGGGAACCGTTTGTCGTCAAGTGGGATCGAATTGAATCGAATTGAATCGAATCGAATCGAATCGAATCGAATCGAATCGAATGCCGTCGAATCGTATAAATCAAAGGAATTTCGCGCGACGAGGCCGCGCCGCTGCCGGTGCGCAGCTGTGCCCGGCAAGACGGCATTTCGGACCGCGATCCGGGAATCGAGCCCGAGAGCTGCGTTAATGATGTGCAATGGAAACGCGAGCGCCAGCTGACATTCTCAAAGGGGGAATTGCATCACAGCATGTGCACGCGCAAACACGAAGCTCACGGGTCGAAGGTGAGATGCATGTTCGAGCAACCGACATACATGCGCCGGCTCCCAATCCCCGGAAGGATGCGCTTTCGAGGACGTGGCTGCGTATTATTCCAGCAGCTACACGATATTATTGTAAGCCTAATGAGTCCATTGATGACGCTTACCAAATATAGACGGCTGCGCCGATTCCAAATTACCGTGCCGTGTACCTCGCGACCTGGCGATGTCGCTTAACCCATTCGCCACGAGAATCATGAGCGTTTTATTACCTCATTCGGTTTGTTGTAGGAAAGATGGATAGAAACAATTGTTATTTATTTGGTATCGTAATTCGTACGTTATATTGTTATTTAGTTTCTTATTCTGCTAAAGTCTCAACTACCGAGAAGTTACATTGACTTTTTTCAACACTAGAAATAAATCGGTCAAAATGGCTTTTAGTAAATATCATTGTTACGGTAGTTAGTAATTTCTCCGAGAATCATCCTGTTACCTTTTTAATAAGTGTGAGAGAAGACATCAGAAACGGGTCACTTTGATTTGTAAGTGGCGGTCACCGGTGACCACCGCGGCAGTCAACCCCTTAGCGTGCGCGCCCTTTGCGTCACGGACCATTATTCGCGGAAATGTTCCGTTTGCGCAGCAGCGAGCAGCGGCCATTAAAATATTCAATGTGGCCGACGTGCCGCTCTCTTCCAGAGTGTTTTGCATGGAACTTTATTAATTTTGTAACACCATTGCCATTGTCTTTCCATTTCCCCGACGGTTCTAAAAATTACAGCCGCTATATACGCGTTAAACGTGAAAACCCCGTAATCGTGAAATACCGTTCGCGGAGACAAACGCTGTCTCGGCTGTAACGCGGCAAAGTGGTTTATTACAACCGTTCCATATTAATAACAGTCGTATTCCCGTTTTATACATTCCGCAAAGCGACGTGTCTGTTGTACGCCAATGTCCAAAAATATTTGATCGCTTATCGTAATGGTTGTTTACAGAAAAAACACTGACTATACAGTTACCGTGCGCGAGTTCAATTGTTCGTTCGACAATCGACTGAACATTTTTCAATTATGTTACATTTTGGGGATTCTCGTTCGTTCGCGTCTGTTAATCCTTTGCTACCGAAGGCTCCGGACCGAAGCCATTTAAAATTTGTCGTTATAAATTACAAAATGATTTTCCTTTTCGAGCGCGTAGCGTTCATTTATATGCGAATATGTTTCTATCGAAGTTACTTCGAGGTGTTGGTAATACGAGCGAAAAAAAGCTTAGAGTGCAAAGTGTTATGAAAGCTGCGAGTGGACAAAGTGCCGTCGCTAGTCGAACTCAACGCGTTTCCCGCGACTGAACCGAACTCGGACGCTTCCATGGAATCTTCTCGCACACTCGGAGAATTAAGAAGAACGATTCCGTCGGTTCAGAAGACGTCCGGACACCTGTCTTCCGCCGCGTCGCAATTCTCTTGACGGTAGTAAGCTCTCTCGTACCCGGTCACGGTGTCCGCGTCCTCGAACTCGCCGGGCAGTCTGAAACATTTGAAAAATGGCAGGTGATCAACGCGATAACTGTCGCGAGAATGTTCACCGATTCATTCGACATTACCTATTCTTTCGCGGCGAAGACAAATAGCGTTAGAAACAGTAAATATCCTTGAATTACTAAATATTTCCATTCGACCTGCAACTTCTCATTGTAATCGCTTCTAAGCAACTCGGAATGACCAGGCATCAATCACCGAACCATTCCAGTGAACGCGTTCAAACGGCGGACGCGTCGCAAAGTAAATCAGAAAGAAGAGATTTAATCGCAGACGGAGATACCGCATCAGCCAAGTTCGCCGCGAAGAAAGTTCTCCAGTTGAAACGCGACGACAGAGAAACGCAACTGAATTTCCCGTAAATCCTTGCGCCCCGTCCCCGCGAAGTTTTTCGTTCCGTGCGAAAAGGTACCAAAAATATTCAGCAGGCCGATCGCGTTGCTCGCGTTTCACCGGCGTTATTAATTATCGAAGGGCGACCCGTGTTCGAACTTGCTCGCTGTTCGAACAATGAGACATCCCCCCGTATCCGCCGCCCAGCGCGGCAGTTCGCTCGCGCGTCACGGTTCTTCGCGCGTCCGAAACTTTCGGAACGGTTATTAAAAGCGGACCGGTCGGGGCCGGGGGCAAGTTGTCGAAGGAAATTCCGCGAGCCGCTCGGACGCAGTCTGCGAACTTCTCGGGGACGTGCCGGAGCCGGGGGACGACGTTAAGCGTCACGCCGGATGTCATGAATAAATTCAACGCGTTATCGGGAAAGTGTAACGCGAAATGCCGCCAGCCGACGGAGTGTCTTGGAAATGACTTGGAGTTACGCGACCGAGACGACACTTTGATGACAGCTGTATCCGTCGACGATCCTTCCTTCTTGCTTTTTCCAAGCGTCTTTCTCGCGTTCACCCCGGTTCCTTAGACACTTGCCAGAGACGCGGGCAGATGTTTTTCGCGCTGGAACGTCTCTATTTCGAGCGACGCGACGTCGCCGTTTTTTTCCCGGCGAAATCACTTTTCCCTTCGTTAATCGATGTTCGATTAATCACCGGTCTCCGATTCAATTTTCGATCTTCCGCGACGGTCCCGATCAATCTCTTCGCTAATAATCGTTTAGACATTCAACGTCTGTTCGAGTTCGATCGCCTCACCCTCTCCCGCGCGCGTTTGATTAATCAACGTCTTCGCGGCATCGTTTTCTCTTCAATTCACCTCCGACGGATCATCCTGGCCGTCATTGCTGGCTTGATCGGGAATTTCAATAAGTAATTTCGAATGGCAATCGGTGGGCTCGTACGCGAATGAACTTACTCCGATCGAGAGACGCGACGTTTGCGAGAGGTCTCGGTTGCTTATTGTTCGATCCTCTTACATTTGGATTACTTCTCAAACGGGAAAGAGTAATTCGGGCGATTGTAAGATACTTACGAGAACACGACACGCATAATCTCCTCGAGGAAGGTTCCTTTGTCCGTCCCCTTCCGATTTCTCTCGGAAGCCTTGCAGATTGCTTTCAGCACGCAGGCTCTGCCGTCTTTGCCCCGTCTTCGCAGAAGAATACGATCGTGAGAGGAATGCGAGTGTTACGGGGGACTATTAAAAATTACTTCATCCTTTCTAGACGTCAGGGTCTTACGAGATTCTTCGCGTACACGCGTTAACCGTTCGCTTTAACTAGAAAAGCAAACGAACGATCAGATATTTCTAAATAGTACATATTTAATCTCTATTTCTGCTCCTGTTAGTTTCCTAGAAACTTTCTGTAGTACTTTCGTTCTTTCCAGCTGGAAGAAAATATTTCAAATATTGGGTATCCAACGAAATTCGCACAGTCTTTGACAGGTTTCGAGGAAGACAAACTTCGATAAAAACGAAATATTGAAATTTGATTCTCCCCGAAAAAATGTTGGTAGATCCCGACGCAGATTATTTTACCGAATAAAATGTTCTCGTTTTATAAAAGTTCCTGTACCCGTTTAATTTTCATCACGGAGAACCACAGAAACTTTTCTAATTATCCGATATTTATCAGGGTCCCAGTTCTCCGCGATTTCAGGGAAATCGACGCGTCACAGTGCGCCGGTGTTCCTGGCGAGACCGACTGCGATCGTTTATCACTATCGTGCTCGTTATCTTCGTCAGGCTGTCCGTGAGGCGGCGGTCTATTCATTAAGTTCGCGATAATACCGTCGAGCGTTGATACCGGTGGGTACGGAGCGCTTCGGTGTAAACCGGTGAAGGTTTACAGGGATCCTCTCCGCCCTTTCCAGCTAACCCCGCCCAACCCCCGCCGCTCACCCCCGAAGCAAACACTGGCAATTATAGAGTACCATGCTTTGCTATTAGCATCGGAATAATGCAGTTGCCGTGTTTCATCGCGGACCAGGAAATCCGCGACGCAATCTTGAGATCCTGTTAAGAGCGGACTAAGATGAGTACTGGTTTACAGACAACACCTACGCTTCCTCTGTCACCTCTCTGAGAAAAAGATTTCCGGAAGTAGGCGGTGGTAGCCCTTTAACCCATTCAAGACTGAGGTTTTTCTCGGAGACAATATTTAAGAACCAAGACTCGAAATCATTACTTTCATCGTTCCTGTTCATTCTTTGCGATCACGTCTTTTGACTATAGGCTGCTCTTTATGGATTCCTAGTTTGAAAACAATACAGATTTTAATTTTTACATACCTTTCATTTGTACTATTAACTAGTAAAGTAAACTAGTTTCTCACTATTAGTCAATAGACATTTATGATCGTTATACACACGCTTTGTGTGACACGCTTGTGTTACAAGGTGTTCTTAGCTAGACACTCCATTACAATGTCGTTTTTGCAACATCAAATTTTCATATTTGGAATAGTACATAGTACTCCCTTCTCAAATAATTTAGGAGTTCGTTATATATGTGTAATTCCGCTCCCCCCGCTGAAGGTTTTGAATAAGTTAAAAAATCCTCATCTGCAGAGAGTTGATAACAGTGGAATTAATATGCTAATTGTAATACGGCTGCCGACCGTGCGCAGTTTTTTTCCATCTTCCTCTCTGTCGATTCTTCTCCGCCGAAACTCTGGCCGCTTTTGTTTGTCTACGCGCCTCCTTTTCTACTTTGCCCCTGCCTTCGTCTAGCCGGCTCCTCAGCCAATGGATTCCGTCTTCGCCGTTTACCTCCTCGCAGTCCTTTTGCTTCCTGGTTTTTCCTTCCTTTTCGCGCGTTACACGGTTTAACCCATTGTTGCCTCTCCGTCTGATCACCCGCGCCTATTCTACTTACTCCTGCTCGCGGTCGATAACCTTTCCTTAGCTTCCCCGAAAGAGACACCTGTCCGTTATTCAGTCCGCTCGCCAAGTTCTACCACACAAACAGCCAGTATCTGGCAGCGCTGAATATAAAAGAGCTAGATGAAAAGTAATCCCACAAATGAGGTGTTTAGCGAAGAAACAGGCACGATGATACTCCGATTAACACTCGGGTTACCTTATTAGCAGACAAAGCGTTAAGTGAGGCGGTTTTAGCACATAGCGTAGTAGGGACGAGGAAACATTAACTCTCCGCGCTTCAAACTTTTTCGTTGGAAATATTTACTAGAATCTAGCTAACGAGAGAACATATGTAAATGAGGAAACAAAGCTATTTCATCTCGGTATTTCTCGAATGGTTAATATTGTAGATACATCTCTATAATGTTGGTATATCAAGTGGAGAGTGAGAGCCACTTCCCGAGTGTACAGGATTAACATTTCAATTTCAAGTTGTTATTACGACAGATTATTTTTATCGTAGCGGTAAACCATTTCGCAAACCATTCTGCCGACGCTCGTACTTTATACTAGCGCGATATCCACGAAAATTCCCTTGATCCCGATCTAGTGTCCTCGGAAATACTCTCGGCAGCATATCTCGTCTCACCACAGGCCACAAAGTCTAGCATTAAAATTGGAACAGTCGATGTTGCTGGTTGCACGCGTCGACTCGCGGATCTCTGGTCAAAACTTGGAGTAGCTTGCAAGTGTGCTGCCTCATTTAGTTAAGAAGCCGTCGACGGAACAATGGGAGGCTATTAACACGGAGAAATAACTACGTACCGCGCGGTATCGTCGCGAAACATCAGCCCACGGTCCGCTCATCGCGACTGCGTTTCAACGAACCCTTTCCCTCGGCACTAGCCCGTAACCTCGTGATTTTGATCCACCAGCCGTCGAGCCGGGGAATCTTTTCCGCGCCATAAATACATCGATCCTCGCGCGAACAAACCCCGAACGGAGCGCGGCAGACGATGAAATATCAGGGAAAAAGGTAATAATTCAGGGGCAGATCGCAACGAGTGCAGTTTTAACGAGAGAAAGCGCGGGAAGCGCATTAACATTAATTTCAAACGGCGTTGAAAGTAAATACGGGCGAGCGCTCGCGTGAATATAAAAGTGAGCCTTGACTGGCGTTTATCGGCGGCCGCGGCCGGGCCCGCGCAAATTTCAATGGTACAATTTGACAAATGGTTACTCCGATATCGGGGTAATCGATGATATTTATGCAAGCAGTATGCGGCGTGCTGGCACGCCCGTCCCGTACGCCCGCCCAGAATGGCTGTTTTAATCGATCGATAATGCCTCCTTTCGAGTAATGCATTCGAGTAATGCAGCCCTACGGGCATCGACAGTAGTCCCCGTTCTTCGACGATACCCTCCAACTGCACGGCGTGCGCTTCTCGCGCTGTCTAATGTACCGCTTCTCTTTTACTGCTTCGGAATGACTCGGGGCACTGTTTCCTATTAATCTCGGAGTAATCTTAGAATAATAGAGGAATTAACCTCGGAGCTCGTTTAGCTCTAAGGTTATGTGGAAGATAAATAGCCCGGCGAGAGTGTACGGTTTTGAACCAATGGCGAGTTTAGTCGGCCGTCTATCGTAGGCTAATTGAACAATCTAATCCACAGTTTCTCTTTTTAATTTGTTCGGTCGTCAACGTGGTTGCTAGTTACAAGATACAATCGATGAGATGGATTTCAGAAGCTGAAAATGTTAACAGATTCTTCTCCAGAAACGTTTAACCATTGGCTGATCGGTAGCTAGGACAACTAGCTGTTTTACTCGAAGCTGAACAATTTGCTGCTCACTATTCACGAAGACGCGGTAACCAAAGAACAGCGCATGTTCCGAAACACTGATCATCGCCGTAGAAGTCGTAGGGAACCGGGATCTTCGCGCTGAATTTCCGAGCAGCGTCGGGAACAGCCGAAAGGAGAGCCGCTTTATCGTTAACTTGATTCGGACCGCACAATTGCGTCCAATCCGTGAAAAGCTGCGGCTCTTTCAACGCCGCGGAGCCGTGCCCGGGTCGGAGCTGGGCGCGCCGCGCGCGGCGCGGACAAGCGTCC